CATATATATTTCTTCTGCAACTCAGGATTATTCTGCAAATCAAAAAACTAAATCAACATACACCTCCATACCACTCCTTGTACAAAGCAGCATTAATTGCAAAATGGTCAGTCCCATTAACACATCACTTTTTGAGATTGCTTGGCTCATACATCAGCCACCAAGCATGACAATATTCAACCAGTTGTTTTCATGTCAGGGGATCACATACACACCCCCAGCCCACACCTTTTCCAGTTCCTTAAAACACAACTCAAGGGGAGATTTTGGGAATTCCTTCTCCCAGGAGCTATGAAGATAGTCCCACACCACATTTACCACCTTACGAAAAAACCTTTCTATGTTTTTAAAACCTCTTACAATTTTTTTAAAATAACCTTTTACAACCTTTTAGTAACTTTTTACAACTTTTTCCAACCTTTTCCAGGACTGAAATTGTGCTATGGGCATTCCTGTGTTAGCTAGTGCATGATCTTACATATGCCAGCACAGTTACAAAAACCTCTGAGCCCTGCATTGCTTCTGTTAACCACTTCCAGTTTTCCAATTAGCTGGGGACTTGTACTCCCTTAAAAGTACACTTTTCTAATTAGCTGGGGACTGGAAACATTTTGATAGTCACTTATGTAGTTTTACAATAATTTTTAATAGAAAATAACAAATTATATCATTACTTTTATAACCCAATTGTATTATAGAGCTCCATTTCTGGAGGGATTCTCTGCTGCAGCTTATGGTTAGATATAATTTTATACCCTCAATAATGCCTTAATAAAACCCAGAGGTTTTGCCTTGAATTCATTGGATTATAGGATCAAAGGATTTCCCCGAAAAGAGCTTTTGATGGACACCAGAGTCCTCCATCCTGTAAATCCAAGGAGTATCAAAAGCATTGTCCCATCTGGGGTCACAAGTAAATTGTTGTCAAAATCGTCAGGATAAATCAAGAATCAATCAGGATAAATAAGAGTCTCTAACACTGTCTTTTCAGTGTTAGGGAGTAAGGCATTATTTTATTCTTGGCCCAGAGGTGTGTGTGGCTGACAAAGTTCTGGCCTCCACACAGATGCTGATACAAGCCCTTTTCACTTATTTTTTACATTTTTAGCAAACAAAGAAATTAATGTTCATGGGTTCTAAGTTACATAATTCTTTTCATTAATTAGCATTCTATCCTTTATTGGTTATGGATTTCTTACTCTTCATGCTAATTTGATCCACATTCTTTAGTCCTCTTATCATCTTTTTCTAAGATAGGGGGTGTCCAACTTTCCAGGCCCTAATCTCTTCTGTATCTTCTGGTTACTCCAACGTCCTAGAAGGGTTATAAATTTAAGATCCCACGTGTCCAATCTTCAGCTCCCTTTGGCTTTGTTTATTGAAGCTTGTCAGGGTGGGTTTTAGCAAACTTAACATTTCAGTGATTTAATGATCAATGTAACAATAAGAGCCTGTAAAGAAACTTAATTAGTGCTGGCTGAAAGTGGGCACTGCTTGGAGTTAATTAAAACAACTAATTAAGTTAATAGTTAGGAAAGTTCTATCATTTCCAACAACAAGCAAGCACAGGGACCAGGGCAGGAGTTTCCCACCCCAGCCACAGAAAATGGAAAATAGATGTTGTGGCCCTGCAACTCTTCAAAATCCCAGCAGGAATTGTTGCTATTCACTGCTCAAAATGCATCTGTCACCAGAACCCAGCAGTCTCCAGACCCAGCTGGGGGGCACTGGAGGTGCCAGGGGGCTGCAGATCTTTCCAGCTAAGCAGATGGAGCAGGGCACAAGCTGCCTTTACTGAGTGGGGCTCAGGGGCTCCATATCATGGATCAGGAAACTTGGGGAAGAAAACTGGAGCCCAGTGTTGTGACTCAGCCCAGCCCCAGTGGCACAGCCAGCCCTCCCCTGCCCCATCCTGCTCACCAGGCTCTGAGCTGGGCATGCTGGTGGGGGAGAGCCTCTTTGCTCAGTTTGCATTTACAGCCTTTATCATTCCATTCAGCTCTCTGAACTAGTCCCCAGCACAGTTCCCATTCCTAATTTAACTTCAGTGTTTGCATTCACTTCTGCCTTTTGGCAGCATCATGCCTGTGTGGATACAGCACTCCAGCCCCCCATCCTGCCAGAGCCTCCAGCAGCAGCCTCAAACATCCCTGTCATTGCTAAACCATGCAACACCTTCAGTGCCATGGCATTGCTAAACCATGCAACACCTTCAGTGCCATGGCATGGCTAAACCATGCAACACCTTCAGTGTCATGGCATGGCTAAACCATGGCAACACCTTCAGTGTCATGGCATTGCTAAACCATACCAACACCTTCAGTGTCATGGCATTGCTAAACCATGCCATCACCTTCAGTGCCATGGCATTTAGCTAAACCATGGCAACACCTTCAGTGTTATGGCATTGCTAAACCATGCAACACCTTCAGTGTCATGGCATGGCTAAACCATGCCAACACCTTCAGTGTCATGGACCATGGCAACACCTTCAGTGTTATGGCACTGCTACACCATGCCAACACCTTCAGTGTCATGGCATTGCTAAACCATGCCATCACCTTCAGTGTTATGGCACTGCTACACCATGCCAACACCTTCAGTGTCATGGACCATGCCAACACCTTCAGTGTCATGGCATGGCTAAACCATGGCAACACCTTCAGTGTCATGGCATTGCTAAACCATACCAACACCTTCAGTGTTATGGCACTGCTACACCATGCCAACACCTTCAGTGTCATGGCATTGCTAAACCATGCCAACACCTTCAGTGTCATGGACCATGCCAACACCTTCAGTGTTATGGCACTGCTAAACCATGCCATCACCTTCAGTGTCATGGCATTGCTAAACCATGCCATCACCTTCAGTGTCATGGCATTGCTAAACCATGGCAACACCTTCAGTGTCATGGCATTGCTAAACCATGGCAACACCTTCAGTGTCATGGCATTGCTAAACCATGCCATCACCTTCAGTGTCATGGCATCTTTTATGTCCTCAACACAAAAAAATAAAATATAATAAGTGTGCCCTCTTATGAGACATCTGCTTGGTGGGGGATAACCTGCAAAAAAGCCCTTTTCAGACATTTGGGAAGACAAAATGAGTTTTTATCTCTGAGTCATGTTTCCTAACTTGAGATGCCACAGGTTTGAACATCAGGTAGAAACAAGAAACTCTCAGATTTTGATGCCAACTGTTCAGATGTTAAACCATATTTCTTACTGGGGTCACTGATACAGACTTCACCACTTTTGTGCCATATCCTACATTTACTTGGGATTTTGTTATCTTGTGTGATCATTTACATCTTAACTCCATAGCAAATTCAAGTCCAGATCCAGGAACTGCAGCTGCCTTGAAACATGTCTACTCCCCATCAAATAACACTTCTACCCAGCATCAAGTAACACTTCCATGCCCTGTCCAAAGCCTTCTCATGGCCTGAAGAGACACAGACTCAAGCAGAGTGAACACATGTAAAACAGATAGAGCAGCAGATTCCACTCAGAAAAACTGTCAGGAGTGATTTTGACCCTCTGTCTGCCACCATCTACCCACCAGGAGGCCACAGCTGCTGCTGTTGGGGCAGGTTTGCTGTGACAAGCCTGTGGTGACCCATCCTGGAGAGACACCCAGGAGTGAGGCCTCATATCCCTGTTTATAATGACTCCAAAGCTACAAGGCCCAGGGCTCCTGCTTCACTGGTGGCTCACGCTGGGCTGCATTTACCTGCACACAAGCCAGGATGTTTCTTCTTCTTGGTTTCTCACACTGACATTCCCACAGTGTTTCACCCATGCTCAGCTGTCAGCAGGCACAAAGCACAAGTTAAACACATGCAGAGGGAAATAACAGCATTTGCTTCTGCTGCCAAACCCCAGGAATGGAATGGAAATATAAGGGCAGGAATGTCAAATTATATTCCCCAATTTATTGGTTTGTTTATCATATGGGGGAAGGTGGTCCAGGGTACATGGAGGAGTCTGGGGCCACCATGCATGCATTCAGCATTGCCACTTGCAGTGGTCCAGTGTTGTGGAGCCTGTGGAGCATCAGTGTGATCAGCCTGCAGAACAGGAGACACAGGGAGGGGGGACCTTCTTGCTTACAACCACCTGAAATGTTGTAGCCAGGCAGGCAGTGGTCTCTTCTCACAGGTAACAAGAGATACAACAAGAGGAAATGGCCTCAAGTTTTCCCAAGGGATGTTTAGATTTGGTATTAGGGAAAATGTCTTTGACAAAAGGGAGGTCAGGCATTGAAATAAACTGTCCAGGAAAGTGCAAGCACCATCATCATCCTGCCACCATTCAAGAAAGGTGTGGATGTGGTCCTTAGGCATGTGGTTTAGTGGTGAACATGGCACTGCTGGGTTCATGGTTGGACTCAATCTTACAGACCTTTCCCAAATTAAACAATTCCACTATTCTATTGTGGGACCTTCTTTCCCCAAAAGGCATCAAAGCCTCCCACAAAATCACAGAATGATAATCATAAAGCCATCAATCATGAAGGACTTCAGTGGCTGAAAATTTTTCCTGGTTCAAATGCCAGTTAAATGCACACAGTGCAATCTTTCTGTGCCTTTCCAAGTCTGGGATGGCAGGAGACTTGACACAGGAGGGCTTGGGGGGATCTCACCTCTTGGGGGGCCTGAAACCTCCTTCTTCCTTAATCCAAATGTACTTTGGCTTAGGAGCCAACAGAACTCATGGGTGAAGGTGACTGATGCTTGGGAGGCCTGGCTCCCTCCTGTCACCACTGCAGTTTGGTACCACTCCTCTGGCAGCCCTGTACATGAATTTTTACACCTTTGAGCTAAATCAAATGAAGCATTAAAACATTTCAGACCTCTTGGCTTCAGGCACTGATGACACTAAAGATTTACTGACCTGCCAAAGCCCAACAAGGCCTGTCCAAGGGGTGCCCTTCTGCCCTTATTCTTACCTATAAATGTTATTTATCAATAAGATATGCAATAAAATAAGTACTTTTAAGAGCAAGGCAACACTTTTTATTTTTATTTAAAAAGGCCTTGATGGCAGGAATATAGTGTAAAAATCATTGGAAAAACTAAAAGGCATCGATACATATTGGAATATACACTTTTTACATAAATTACATTTATTTATTTTTTCTTTCATTTGAGGTTCTTATTTGATATTGAGGTCTAATAGTTAATAGGTCCTGGGATCTGGACGTTTAGACCACCATAGTCTAACATGTACATGTTCATGGGCCATTGCTGAAAGAGAGGGAGAGAAAAAGAAGGCAAAAGTCTCCGTTAGGACACAACACAAAACCATGCAAACATCAAATCTCTGACATGTTCCAACAACTGGCTGTTGCTCTCACTTTCCAAGTAAGAGAAAAGTACCAACCCCAAACCAAAACACCATTAGCAAACTTGACAAAAACCCTTGAAAGTTTTTATTTTTCTTGTGCATTTTTGGGAAATTTTATTTGGTATCATCCGCAACTGAAGCCAAGCCCTGAAGGAGTGCAGTTGTATGCATCTCCCTGACTTTATCTCCTCTTTTTCCTGTTTTGTGGCATTCTAGAACTCTGCATTGCTCCCAGAACTGAGCTAGAGGTACACCCAGCACAGCCTGGACTGTGGGGAAGCACCAGGTTCTGCTGAGGGGCACCACAGACCCGAGATGATGTCACCAGCACTCGTGTTTGAACCCAGGGGGATGGAGGGATTTGCCTGAGCCTGTCTCAGGTGCAGCACCCACTAAAGCTGAGCACCCCCCACCCTGAGGCACACTGCAGGAATGCAGGAGAGCCCCTGGGGGTGTCAGGCTCGCTCTGCTGACCTCCCCCAGACGAACCCTGCAGAAAAGGACAGCCCCACAGGTGTGTCTCCTCCTTTGCCAAACCTGCTCGTGCCATTTTACATCACACTTTATATAGTGTTTGTCAGGTGCAGGGAGGTGGTGACAGCTCGAGCAGAGCAGAGCAGCATCCTGAAGCAGAAAGATAGGTAGGCAGTAACCCCCCTAATATCTGGAAGGCTTTACCACAAGCGAGATCTGATTTGTTGATGATGTAGACTCCATATTGGAAGAAGAGGAAGAGGAAGAAGAGGAAGAGGAAGATACCGAGTTCCCTTCGGAGATCCTCTTCCGCTTCCGTTTGGGAACACTGATGTCTTTGTCTGCAAGGAGAGAGGGAAGGCATGAGGTGCCCAAGCCCTGAGAGTGCTCCCTACATCTGGGGATTCCTTTTGCCACTCTGCCCTTGCCCTCCACGGAGCATCCCCTGCTGTGCTGCCACTGGGGGCACAGGCTGGGCCTCCATGAGAGGCACAGAGCTGCCAGCTTTGCTCACGCTGCAGGCATGCTCTGCCTTGCCACATCTCCCTTCTCTATTCATCCACCTCTTTTCATAAAACATAGGATTGTAGTAATCTCTAGGACTGCTAATCCTGACATGTTTGATTAAAACTGTTTGAGATTTATCAGGATGACGGGACAGAGAAACACATTCCCAGTGATGACAGAAAACTTTGTTGCCTTAGAAATTCAACTGCTAAATGATGGCTCAAATTAAGGGCTTTAACCAGGGAATAAATTGCTCATGGTGAGTAAATTGCTAATGGAAGAGGGGTAATCACATCCTGCAGAACATGCTGAAAGTTTGAGCCAAACAGCCCAGTCTTCCCACAGCTCACAGAAGTGGAATCCTCCAAGAGGATAGTTTACTCTGGAACAGATGCTGAGCCTAACTTTTTTTAGGTAGGATCTTCTGCCCATGCTGCCTTGGGGATGTGGGAGGTTCAAACACCACCTCACAACTCCCATCCATTTTCTCTCCCACAGTGCCAGGAAAGCCACAGTTATGTCCCAGCCCTTCCCTTACCTGTTTGTTTGGCCTCAGTGCAGATTTCAGCAAATGGCCTGTGGAAGACACAAGGCATGAGTCAGTGGTTTCACCCTGTGTGCCTGCCTGTGCTGGGACACAGCCCAGACCCTGACCCTGAGCTGACTCTTCCAACACCCCCTTGTGTGGAGAGGGGACTTGGAGCATCCCCAGTGCATCCTGGAGAGAAACAACCTGAAAGAGCTCAGCTGGGTCTCTGAGTTACCAGCCCCCATGTCACATCCCTTCCAAACATCACCATCCCAAACTGCACAAGAAAGAGGGGACAAATTGGCCCTGTAACCCTTCACTGTGCCCACCCATGGGCAAGAACCACAGGACAGTGGATGCCAGGGATGGAGCAGGTCCTCCACAGGTGTATGGTGGCTCTGGTGGCCTCAGGGTGAGTTGCTCTGCTTATGGCTGAAGAAGCAAGGACAACCCTTAACAAACAGAAACATCCCCCACCACAAAGGTGGGAAAACTTACTGGAGCTGGTTTATAATCACTATTCGGATGCTCTCCCGTGCCTTCAGGATCTTCTCCAGCCGATGAATGTCGTAGGTGTTGGGATTTCTGAACGGGATATCGTCCGGCAGCCCCGTAACCTCCACCGAGTCAGGACTGTCCCTGATGAGTTTATAGGGCACCATGACAGGCCTGTTCAAGCCCAGAGCCTCTCCTGTAAGGGCAGAACAGAGGACAGCACAACAGCTTTACCCTGCAGTGTTGGAACCCAGGACATCCCTCTGGCTGCCCTGGAGGACTTGAGCCCCTGCCAGAGGGCTCAGAGACCTTGACACGCAGCCAAAGACACCTGTGGCCTTGATTTTAACCCATGGAAACATTTACCAACCTTATATGAAGATTTACAAACCATGAGAGTTTAAATAGAATGTAGTTAATTTATCACAGGGTGAAAAATAGAATTTTGGGTTTTTAGAATGAAGGTTCAGAAGCCAAGATGGAGGAATCTGGGCGTGCCTTGTCCTTCTTCTTTCTTCTTCTTAGCCTCCATCTTCTGCTGTGATGGTGGCACTTTTAGATGGGTTTAGAGTAGAAACACACTGTCTATCATAGGTGAAAGATAGGTAGGCAGTAACCCCCCTAATGGTAGGTAGGAAAATTATTGTAAATAAAGTACTTGTAGTTTTTAGTATAAAAAGATAACACCACTCTGAGGGTATCAGTGTGCCTTGGACTGACTTGCTAGACAGATCTCAGCAGGTCAGGATAAGAATGTTATAGATAACAGAAAATAAACAACCTTGAGAACCAGAGCCAAGGAATCCTGACTCCTTCTTCAATCTCAGGGCTGGGAAAAAGAGACTTTCTGACACCTTGGGGTCATCTCGAGCACAGAAACCCTGAGACTGCAGGGCTCCAGAGCCAACCAACTGAAGGACCAAGAGCCCTGGGGGACACTGGGATGCCATGGCTGCTGTGGTGCCCAACCTTTGCTGCAGTCACATCCCACCCAGCCATTTTACATGTACCTGCCCAATTTATTGTCTGCTCTGTTAGTCTCTATTTAGAATTCTGCCAGGAGCCTCGGGTGAGTTCAGAACACACACACAGTGCCTCACTTGCCCAAGCCCATGGCTGGACCAGCAGCAGCAGCATGCAAGACAGCCCAGGACAGAGGGGAAATGGAAGAGATTTGCCCATTTCCTCTTGCATCTGTACATCAGCAGGTCTGGGGGTCACTGGGGTGGAGTATCAAAGCCATCCTCATCATCACATCACATCACATCATCACATCACTCCTGCCCATTTCTTGAATCAATTTATCTCTTTAGCCTCCACAACATGCTATGGCAGTGATACAGCTCAGTTTAATTTCTTGCTGCATTAAAAGTCAAGGTTTACTTCCTTGTGTACAAGTAAACCTGCTGCTCACCTCTCTGGGTACCCCTTCATTTCCTGCTCACTGGGGAGCAGAGAACATCCCTAACTCCTGTGCTGTTTGTGACTGTAAGAGCCTGCTCCCACCCTGCATCTCTGCAGCCCCCAAACCTGAAGCTGTTAGTGGCTGCACAGCCACATTTCTGGCTTTCCTCCCACAGAGTTTGTCCCATCAAAGGCTGACATCAGACTGAACAAATCCTGCTGCTATGCTGCATTTTGCCATAACCCCTTCCCCTCTCCAAGGATGAGCTGTCAACAAGAAGGGAATGGTCCCACCTGCCAAGAGTGAGACACAGAAACATCCCTGGGGACAAGCTGTAACATGGAGCAGCAGGACAATATCTGTGCTGCAGCAGCTGCCATGGGCTTGGGCTATAAATAGAGGCCTTTGTGGAAATAATTTTAACTGTGGCTGCTCTCAGCAGAACCAGCCTCACCCTGTGATGCCTACAAGCAGAGACTCACCGTATTTTTCATTGAAAAGCTCTTTCACTTGCTCTCGCAGAATCACCTTCTCTCCAAGCCTGTTGGCATCATCCTCATCTGCAAAAGCAAGAAAGAACAGGAGTCAACTTCACTTGTTTCCTTCTGAGCCTCTGGAAAACCAATCTCACTGACACAATGCAGGACAGCATCCCTGTCCCTCTGGGCCTGGGGACACCTCAGAGGTGCTGCTCTGTGCTTGCACCCTGCCACACCTTTCAGAGCTGGGCAAAGCAGCTCTAAAATGCTGCCAGATCTCCATTTGCCATGTGCTGCCACAGCTAAAAGCATTTTACATCTACTTTTCTGGTAAATGACTAGAAAAAATGCAAAGCAGTGAAGACTCAAGCCCTCAGTGCCATGAATGCTCCCACAAGGGACATCAAGGAATGAGAGAGCACTTTTTTGGCTAAGCTCCTGAGTGAAGTATTGTTTTATAACATGCCATATAATCAGCTTGGCTTTCCTAGCTTTTTTAATCATCCTCATTGTGCTAAACAGTTTCTCTTTCATTCTCTCATGTCAAGCAATGTGCCTAAGTCAGTAGATTTTTACACTCAGCTATTTGGCATCCTCAGGAGGCTCCAGGACAAATGATTGGGGTCATGACCTTAACCTCTGACCTAGAGTCAAATGACCCAAACTCTAACCTGTCCCTTTAATGCCTTTTTTCCCCCAGAGGTACAAAGTACCAAGTGAACACACCTTATGTGCCTCTTGCTGTGGTCACCCCAGCAAGCTGGGATGCACAAAGCAGGACCAGCTCAGTGGGGTGGACTCCCCACCTTCTCTCCTCCCAAAGAAGATCCTCACTGTCACCCAGGCTGGAAGCCACTGGGTAAAAATCATGGAACCACTGCATGGTTTGGGTGAAAAAGGACCTTCTAAGACCATCCAGTTCCAAGTTCCTGCCATGGTCAGACGTGTGCCTTACAGACCCAGTGCCTTGTGCTCTGTGCAAGTGCTGGCTCAGGTGATGGTGGAGGGTGGCTCAAAAGAGTAGAAAGAGGTGCTGGAGGTGCTGCCCAAATCCCATCTTTAGTATTGGCATCCTTAGGTGTCTCAAACAACATTTAATCAGTCTTTCTGTTAATGCTTGGAGCCAAGAGGTTTGAACCCAGCCCTGAGCACCAGGCAGCTGAGGGCATTTTGGGGGCAGAGCCTGCCAGGAGACTTTGTTCAGGCCCTTGTTCAAAGCCCCTTTCCAGCTCTCCTGGAGCCTCTTTGGGCACTGGAAGGGGCTCTAAGGGTCTAGACCAGACTCCAGCTACTCTCCCTAGAGCCTTCTCTTCTCCAGGTGAACACTTGCACTGTCCCAGCCTGGCTCCAGAGCAGGAGTGCTCCAGCTCTTGGGTGGGTTCATGGCCTCCTTTGCACCCATTCCAACAGGTTCAGGTTTTTCTTGTGCTGGAGGCCTCAGCCAGATGCAGTGCTTCAGGTGGGGTCTCACAAGAGCTATTCACAGTGGGCTTTTACAGCATCCAGGTGAATGAACCCTGCAAACCTTGGCATGAGGGATCAAGGCATCCTCTGCCCCCAGGCTGCAGCTATTCAGTTTCATTTTGAGCAATTACATGATTATGGTTTTTTATTATTTTGAGCAATCATATGATTTTTGTTTTGGTTTCAAGCAAATACATGGCTGGAAGTTTAGTTTTAAATGCAAGGTGAAAATCCACTGCAAGTCCCTGCTCCTTGCATGGGACTGATTTCAGTGCAGAAAGATCCCATCTCACATCTCAGCCACTCTGCTGCTGTGGAGAGAAGATGGCAACCTCAAACCTCTGCACCCTGCTACTGCAGGGTACAGCCTCAAAAAAACCTCTTCTCCACCTGGAAAACAATTGCTTTGCCTGGATATTACACACACACAAAAAAACCCCCAAACAAACAAACAAACAACCCCAAAAAAGAAAACTAAAACCAAAAAAACACCAAAAAACCTCAAAACAAAACAAAAAACAACCCAAAAACTTTCTGCAAAGAGAGCTCAGGGGCAAGTTGTGCTTCAAATCCAGAAATGACAACAAAGCAGCTTGAATGGCATGGAGCAAAACATAAATACAACAGATGGAGATTTCTAAGTGATGCCTTGCAGTGCCACCCTGGAGGCCATGGAGGACCAGAGGGGACAGCCCTGAGGGCTCCCTCTGTGACTTCCTTGTCATCACTGCTCAGTTTCTGGGCTGTACATATGTACCTGCATGGATGTGTAGATGGTAGCAGACAAAGACACACCAAAATTCAGTGTTCTCACTCATTTAATTGTCTGGGACTGAAAAATGCAGCAAGTCTTTCCTTTCTGCTCCTGCCCCAAGTGACCCAAGTGCACGAAAAAAGATCCCAAGGGATCTTGTTTTTTTCCACCTTGAGGTGGGCACTACTCCCAAATTCCCACTCAAGGACACAAACAAATGTCATGAAAATCCTGGAACTGAGCATGCAAAACAGTGAAGCCAAAGAGGAGCCTCTGGCCAGTGGCATTGCTTCCCAGGGACTTACCCCTCTGTGCCCAGGCAAGAGGGATCTCCATCTCCCTTGGACTTTACCCATGTGGGTTTGGAATTAATCAACTCAGGGAGTAAACTGAAGGAAGAAGTAAATCAAGGAAGCCACTAGTGCTTCTGAAATGTGCTGAGTCCTTCCCATAAAGCAGGTTTATCCATGCTGCTGGCTTCAGCTCTGTGTTATCTTTTTTTTTAATTAAAATAGTAGCTAGTTGATTTTTTTTCCCCAATTCTGCTTGCCTGAAGTCAGCACCTCTGCACTCCACAGGAATTTACATACAAGTGGTCACATTTTTAAAGCACCACTTACTTTTTTTTCTATAGGACTTGTCAGAGCTTAACATTTCTTTGAGAGACACCAAGCTCCTTTTAGTAATTATAAAAACTGAGGTTTAGGTGTCTGCTGTTGGGCAATAGAATCCAAACCACTGCTTATTCTTCTAGTGACTCAAAAACCCCCACAAAACCAAATTCAAGGTATCCCATGGATAAAAATAATGGTTCTGTGTTCATGATGTCATGTGCAGAACCTTGATCTCAGTGGTGAAGCCACAGCACAGTTGGGCAGGGCACCCAATGGACCCTCTTTCCTTCCTTCCCATGCCCTCAAACACTGCTCAGGGGGATGCCTGTCCTCTGTTCAGCCACTGTTCATGGAGTAACAACCTCCTGTTACCCAAAGACTTGTCCTGAAGCCCATTTCATCAGGAAAACTGTCACTGCCCAACACATCTCACTGAAAATATGGCTCAGATCCTTTCTGCAGGCAATCCCAGACTCATCAAAGAGATGCTCAGCTGGCAGGCTGAGGGCAGGCTCCTTACAGCAGCCTGCCCTGAATCCTAAGAGGAGTCTTTCCCCTTCCAGCCCTGAATCCTAGGAGGAGTCTTTCCCCTTCCAGTTGCCATGGCTGCAGTTCAGTTTTACCCCTGTGTAAACCCAGAACAAACATGCTGACTTTCCTGAGGCTGTTCTGCAGTAACTCAGGTTTAAATGCAGTTTGAATTAGCTTAAGATATGTATATTTTCAAAGCAGAGCTATAAACTTGTGGCAGCAGCAATTAACACCTAGACCCCCCAGCCAAGATCCCAGCTGGATCTGCTGTAGCTATGCCATGCCCAGGCACAGCTCAGCCCTTCCTGACTCCTGTACATCAGTCTGTCTCACATCCCTGGAGCCTTCATGGCTACTCACCAGCCCTGACCCAGAGTCTGTGTTAAAGCAAAGCAGAAACAACCCCAGCCCAAACCCATGGAAGCTCTCCTTATGAATGGCAAGTGGATTTGTAACAAATTAATTGCTGGGACACGTGGATGAAGATGAGGAGAACATGGCAGGTTGGTTTGGCTGGAGCGATGGCATCGGTGCTCAGGGACTACAGCAGCAGTGCTTGGAAATGCAGAAAGGATTAATAACAACAATAAAACACTGTATCAGTCAGTTCTGCATACCACAGAAAAAACAATACCTGAAATTTGGGGGTTTTAGACATTTTCATTCCCATATTAAAACACAAGTAAGAGCATTTCTTGTCTGCTACCATCTACGATGCACCACCTGAGCTACGTACCATTGAGAGCAGCATAGGCTTTTTCCAAAGATGTTATCCGTCTAGGGGCTACAGCACAGGGTAATGGGAGACAAAAAACAAAAAAAGAGAAAGAAAAAGAGATCCATGAGTGCTGCAGCTTGGTTTCTTGGTCACAAACAAAAGCAAAACCCAGGATTAAAATTCCTCTGGCCCCTTGGCACAGTTTTGGTAGCTAATAACTGCCTGGTAAGTTATTTACTGGTGAGCTGGGCTCTCCACCTCATACCAGGCCCTGCTGTGCTGGAATGTGCTTAAGCCTGCAAGCGTCCCTTTGGCTCTCCTGAGCAGCTCAAGGTCCACATGTGCATAAGGATGCATGGCCAAATGACAGCATTTATGGCATGTGCAAGAGCAGCAGCAGCTGCCTTGCACAGCTGTTCCAGTGCCAGAGGAGAAAAAAAAAAAAATCTCAGGTTAAAGCAGATGAAAAGCAAACAGGGAGATCATGACAGTTCTGCATCAATAGGAGAAATGGGAGAAAAGGAATCCCTAAGGAGAGGCTGGTGCTTGCCACTGACTCCTAAGTGATCAGTGACATAAAAAGAAATTATCTTCCTCTGGAAAAACAGCAGGGATGGGACTAAGGCTGGATTTGCATGATGGGCAAAAGGAGGAATGAAGTGGCTCGTCCTGCTGAAGTCACAGCCACAGGGAGAGCTGTGGGGAGGTCAGGGCTGCAGCACCAGGGCAAGGAAGGGGCTCAGAGGGGAGGCTCTCGATGCCAAATTGCAGTGAGCTGACACCAGCAAACAGAAGGGGACTTGGGAGACAGCAGGAGCATGTGTCCAAATCTCCTAAACAGAGGCATAAGCAATCTGAAGTAGCTCCAAATACCTAGCTCAAAATACGTGTTCCCCATTTCAAGCAGGCTCAGGAGAGCAGCCACTGCAGCACAGAGCTCTGCTGGTCCCTGCAGGGGGAGGAGAGCCCTTCAGTTCAGCAGCTCAAAGGAACAGAAAAACCATGTGGCTCTGCCCAGGGCAGCTGCAGGCACTGAGCTTTGGGTGCAGACCCACATGAGCTGGGGCTCTTCACCCCTGAGCTGCAGGAAGACAAATTCTGCCACAGGTAGCTGCAGCAGTGCCACTCTGTCATGCTGCAGGATCCTGCCCCAAAATCAGAAATAATCTCTGCAGATTGGTGCCCTAAATCTCTGGTGACACCCTGTGGGCAGCACCCACTGCACTAAATGCCTACGTGTGGGAATCCACAAAATTAGAGGGAAAATTAGAGGGTTTTAGGGAAAGCTGCAAAAGGCAGGCCTCAGATACAGCAGAACTGTGAGTAGAGCTAAAGCAGCAGCCATGAGATAGGTCAGCAGAAAAATTATTTAAACTGTAGAAAAAGCAAGGGCAAATAGAACAATGGTCTGTGTATTAACACTTGTCTAGAATAACTCTCTAAGCTGCAGAAAGTTTATCTAGCAAGATATTAGGAAGGTTAAAGCTTAATAATGGAGCTCTGTGCATTGTGTTTTAAGGCTTACAAGTAGGTGTTGTATTTGAAATAAGCAAGCATTGTTTAACCAAAGGTACCTGTGCTTATAGTGGTTGGGTAGAACTACTGTCAATGTGCTTTTGCTTTGTGTGATTGGTCAAGAAGCTTATAAAGTGAGTTGTAACATTAAGTTTTTTGGCCTGCTGCCTGGATTGTGAGCTGCTGGCATCTTCCCATTGTTGTAATCATGTAGTGAGACTGATGCTGGAAAATCAAACAGCTCAAGGCGCTTTCCACAGCAGCCCCGTCTCGTCCAGGTCTGTAAAGAGCCCCCCTTGCCAGTGTCACTTATGCAGAGGGGAGGAGATGCAGATGGGCCATGCTGGTGCTGGGAAAGCCAAGCTGGAGTCCAAGCCAAGAGGGAGCAAGGTGCTGGCAAGGCTTCTGTCAAGGAGGAATGCAGGCAGGAGCACAGGCAGGCTGCAGGCAGCAAGGGAGAGAACATATGGCAGGATCTTTCCAATATGGCTCAGAACTGGTTGAGAAAAGGCAGCATGGCATTTCCTTTGCTTGGCAGCAACTCAAAGGCTTTTGCAGCATTTCAAGGTGCTGTTATGAAATTACCTTAAGAAAGGTAATTCACATTTCTTGTCCTGCTAACTGAAAGGTGGCATTCAGCCCTGAACCATAGGAAGCATCCCACCAGGTTCAGGGCAACTGTCCTGCAAGGATGGAATGGCACTCATCTCACTGTCTGATAAGCACCCTGAAAAATGAGGGGGTTGGGGTCTCTGAAGGACACAACAGGATGTGAGGGTGGTGGAGAGCAGAGGAAGGAAAGAGCAGAGTGAACACAAGGGCTTGGATGAGCTGGGTGATGGTGCTGCCCTCTGGACAGCAAGGATGCCACACACAGAGGCAAATGGGAAAAGGAGACCAAAGCTAGGGAAAGAAAAAGGTGATTGGAATCCCAAACATGCTTATAAACAGGCTTTGAAGCTCCACAGCTATTCACTCCTGCTTGAATTTTAACCCTCATAATTATCCATATATAAAAATATATATTTTTATACACAAACACACACACACACACACATATATATTCAACCTGCCTGAATTTTCACCTTAGACTAGATACAGTGACCAGTTGAACACTCAAAAATAATCACCCCAGGCCTGGCTGGTGGGTTAAAAAGGGTTGGGGGGAGAAGGGAGATGGATATGGACTTTGAAAAGCAACCTGGTGATGGAGCAAGATGTGCTCAGCCCTCATCACAGCTTTCCTCTTTTCTATTTTTCTTGCTAGGAGTTTCCAATGCGAGGCACATCTCATCAAAGTCTTGAGGAGGATTGTGCTCTTGTGATTAAAAAAAGAAATAAATATATATATATATAAAGGATGCCTGGATGTGTGGGTTTTTTAATTAAATAACACTGCCTGCCCTACTTTATTAATTGGAGTATGGAAAATAATCTATCATGATGGTAGGGAGCTTGGGGAATAGGACAGATGGAGCTGGTCTACATTTTCAATCAAAGCACATTAAAATTAACATACAGAAAGATTTTTTTGTGTGTGTATGTGTGTGTGTGCTAGATTACTTATGCTTGATAGTATTTTTCAAAGGCTCATATTAAGCCAGTTTTGTATCTGTGCCTCAGGAAAGAAAAAACAAAAGGATGAATGTAGTGTTTATAGCACTAGAGCTTCACCCCTGCTCACTCACTCCTGTTTAATGCTGAAAGATCATGCTGCTTTCAAAAAGGGGTTTTGAAAGGCTCTTCTGCAGAGCAGAGCCCAGCAGTGTGGAGAAGAGGCACTGGAAATCAAAAGGAAAACCCCTGGATGCCAGGAGGGTTGTGCTCCTGGGCTGAAGGCCCTGGGGAGGCCATGCAGGTGAAGGGCTGGCACTGGTGGCCTCAGGGCCATTGTCCCATCTTTGAGAGGCTGCAAACCTGCACTCCTGAAGGGCTTTTTTCCAAAAACGAGCCTCATTCCCTGAAAATCCACCTCCTTCTGCAAACAGCATCCCTGCAGGCACACAGCCCCCAGCTGCTTCTGCACTAGCAACTCCCCCATCTCCCATTCAAGGAAAAATACCACCTCAACATACAAACTACAGATTATCTGGAGAAAAAAAAAGCACATGAGGCACTCAGATTATATTGAAATCCTTTCACCTGTTTCTGTTACAGTTCAAAATGGGTGTCCCCAAAAGAAAGAGATCTGTGGTCCTGCAGTTACCAGCAATGCTCTTTGCAATTGTGCTGGTTTTGCAGCACAGCAATGCAGGAGGGGCACAACTTTAAAGCATATTAAAGCCCATAAAGGTTTAACCTAAAAGGTTAAAGGTTTAACCTAAAGGCAACTAAAATCACTCCACAGTGATTTTATTTTAAAATTACATTAAATTTCCCTTTTTCCTAAACACATCTACACTTGGTGTAATTTTTTAGCCAAAATGATCCACAAAGCCCATTAGCTCTCCTCACATTTATGATGTTACCTCCTGAGCTTTCCAGCTTTTAGAGACCTCTGCAATGCCATACCTGGGAGTAACTACTGCTTTCATTTTAACCCTCCTCTGAGAAATAAAAGTGATTTTCATTGACTATTTTAATGCCAAGCATGCTGCTGCTCTTCATTTTACATTACAGAGCTTCACTACACAACATTGAAGACTATTTAATTTAAATTTTTAGTGACCTATGGCTAGTTGGAAATAATTCATTTTGTTAAGGCAGATGGAAAGCAATCAAAGCCAAGGGAGTGACTGCATCACTGTACTGCCACCAACCACTTTGCTGTAGTGGGGTGGAAAATCAAACAATGGGTTAATTGTTGCCAGTGGGGATTAGGGAGGGGCAAAATACAATCAGCTCTTTTCTGGGAGAGACATTCCAGTGGTAATCTGACTACTAGAAAATACTTATGAGCCCTGAAACCGTCTCTGAAGATTTGGCAAATATGGGAAATTGTCTATAACAAATTGAGATGTTAAGTAAGAAAAACCCCTCACCTGTATCTACTCTTATTTAAAACCTCAGTGGGAGGAGAGGGAGTGAAGCACCCAGCCTGGCAGGGATGCTGTGACCTGCTGAGCCCACTGAAATACACATAAAATGTGTCTTTGGGTTTGTGCTGGAAGGCTGGTCTGTGAGGGGAGCATTCAGCTGGAGGAGGAGGGAAAAAAATGTTGTGCATTGAAAAGAAAATAAATCTCCTCTCCATCTCTTTTTCTCAGGCTGTGTCTCCCAGCCAGGTAGCAGCCTGAAGTATTTCCCTTCTGAAGTGCTCCCTTGTTAATGGTGTGATTTGTGTCAGATCAACATCTCTTATCAGAATTATACTGTTCATAGAGGGGGAATGGAAACACAAGACATGGCTGGAGGAGTGTACACACAGCCATGGAATTCTGTGGAAAACCAGAGTTCTGCAAAAATTGTGCTTCACTGAGGGCTCATTTTAGGTCCAGCTGATGGGAACTGGCCCATTGCTGCTCAGGACCAAAAGATACAAATCTAAGGCCAAGTTCCACAGAGGTCTTGGGGGACCTCCCTGTCCTTGGCTGGGCCCTGCACAGGGACACAGAATTGAACACATGGACCATGCCTGAATTTCCTAGAATTGAACACATGGACCATGCCTGAATTTCCTAGAATTGAACACATGGACCATGCCTGAATCTTCCTAGAATTGAACACATGGACCATGCCTGAATCTTCCTAGAATTGAACACATGGACCATGCCTGAATTTCCTAGAATTGAACACATGGACCATGCCCGAATCTTCCTAGAATTGAACACATGGACCATGCCTGAATTTTATTGACAGCTCACCTTTTGTTAGAGCTCTAACACCTTTCTGCTATTCCCAATAAGGGCATATAAATGTTTTCCTGTCTGTCATATTTGTCTTTCCTAAATTGTGTCATTGCCATGGAGGCTGGCCAAGGAAATGGGAAGCCATGAATAAAGATGACAAGGTTCTTTGCACCCATCTGTGCTCTTCCAACAGTTGTAATTACAGACATTTAAAATCAAGACAGGTTTTTACCCACATTTCTGACAGCAACTCTCTTCTCTGAGCAGCCAAGAAATGAGAGACAGCTACTGCAGGGACTGACAGTGAAGGACATGGCTCTGGGATGATGATTTGAGCAGCTGGGTATGGAGTGCACCCTGGACACTCTGTCCTCTCCTCTGCCATGTCTTCCCTGCTATATCTGCCTGTGGAATGCTCAGGAGCTGGAGTGGACCTTCACTGCCATGCTGCTGCAGCCCAGAATGCACCCTTGTGTTAATCAAAACCTTCCCTCTCCACCCAACCCACCAGCTCTTTACAACACTGATTTATTTTAAGAAAACACTTAAGAAACTGGGTGCTTTCTTAAATACAGAAAACAAATCCTTGCCCTAGATTAGCTCTTGAAAAATGCCATCATTTCAGGGCAACAGCAGCGGTACTGATGGGTGCTGCTGAGGCCAACTGCCTCAGGCAGCAAATGCACCAAACAACAACAAAACCCGAAGTGGGAGAACCCCGGAAAGTGAAGTAGAACAACCTTCCTCCAGCTGATAAAATTATTGCTTGCCATCCACAGTTTACAGCTCCCTGAGCACCACTTAACACCTAGTCAATGCATTGTTTAGGCAAAAAGGTATCATCTCTTACCGGGTTTGGGGATGAGTCCTTGAAAAGGCCTGTGAAAAAGAAGGAAAAAAGGAGATTTAAAATGAGATGGTACCAGGAAGCCTTGGCTGAACAACCTCCTGTGGCCCATGGAAGGCTGGGATCAGCCTGTCCTGCACACAACTCATGTGGGACCAGCAGGAGCTCTGTGGGGATGAGGTCCCTGCTTGGGGGATGTACCTCATGCCCCATTGATAAGAAGACAAACAACATGGTCCAGCAAAAGGGTGACAGAGCCACTCTTAAGCCATTTTCTTCCTGACTCACCTTAGTGTGATACATCACTGAAGTGCTTTTCCCTCCCTTCCCACTTGTGTCCACCCCCTTTGGCTGTGAAACACAGAGGACCCTGCCAGGAGCAGAGGCTGCTAAAGCACAGCAGGGCTCTGAGCACTGCCCTGCATCAGCAATAATCTGTCTCAAGCCTCTAAAAAAAGGGGCTGGGATTTCTGTGCCTGGAGATCAATCACACCAAGCACCTTCTTGTCCTGCCACTGCCTTCCCCATCACCTCCTCAGGCAGAGGATGGGAAGAAGGCAGGAGTGTCTGTGTTATGGTCCCCTCATTTCTGATGAACCATTAGCTGCCACCTTAATTGCTGTCTTGGGGGACTGGAGGCACTTACAGGCCTGCCCCACTGGGGCTGCAGAGCAGGGAGTGCCTTTAGGGGGGCTCCCTCCTCTCCCCATCTTTGGCTCCACAGCATGGCTGACACCTCTCACCACATACCTTGTCACAGTGAACTTGATTTTATCAGCAACAGCCAGTATCCTCTCCAGGTTCTGGGAGCCAAAGGTGCAGGGCTTCCTGAAGGGGATCCCAGGAGGCAGCCCCTCTATGATCACCGACCCTGGGTTGCTCTTAATGCGCTTGTAGGGCACTTGCACAGGGTATTTAATCCCCAAGGCCTCACCTAGGAGAGAAGTGAGTGGTAAGTAAGTAGTGAGAATGCCAGGGATGCCATTTCTGCTGCAGCTCTGGCTTTAACAGAGCCCTACCAAGCTCTTTCCCCAGCCCTACCAAGGCACAGCACAGTGTGAGCAGGCTCCTGAGGCACCAGGTCAGCATTAAATCAAGGACCAACATTTTCAGGCTGCCTCCATGATGGCAGTGGAGGGGTCCAAACACAGGCACATGTGTGCAGCAGAGCTCATGGGGCTGAGGAGCTGCAGTGCCCTGCATCATGATGCCCATGCACTGCAGTGGGAGGGATGGGAAGCTGCTGCTCTTTGTTTTGGGATGTTATCTGGAGATAACTCCACAGCTATGATCCCCTCTCTTAGGCCTGGCTGTGGGATTGAGGTTACAATTCCTTGCAAGTACCTGGACAAGTCTTACCCCTGCTGGAACTTCAGCACATTGGTGACATCAATGTGGGGGGCAACAGAGCAGAAGAAGGTTTTGAGAAAGGGGAGAAGAATCCAAGTCCTCCTGAAGGCCAGATTTGCCATAAAGCAAACCAAGGTCAAGGGACCTGCCTGGGATATTCAGTTTTTAGGAGCAAAATGGCAAGATGGATGTTGTCAGATTCCAATGGATATGGTCAACAAAACAGCTCTGTCCTCAGCAAGCAGCAAAAAGGAAACAGATTTCCTTGGGTGCTGTTGCGTTTTGGAGGATACATATTCCAGATTACAGTCAGATTGTAAACTTTCTCTATCACATGGCATGGAAGAAGAACAATTTTAGGTGGGGTCCCAAGCAACAATAAGTTTTTGAACAAATTAAACAGGAGATGGTTTAGGCAGTAGCCCTTGGTCAGTCAGGACAGGACAGGATGCAAAGGATGTGCTCTGCACCACAGCTGGGGAGAATGGTCCTTCCTGGAGCCCTGGAGAGATTCCAGAACAACCCCTGGGCTTCTGCAGCTGGGAATACGAAATATCTGAGGGCAGCTACACCCCAGCTGAAACAGAGATACTGCCTGCTTCTGAAGGGGTTTGAGCTGCTTCAGAAGTGACTGGCACCAAAGCAGAGCTGCTTTTGGCACCCCAGCTACCAGTGCTGGGCTGGGTGTTCAAGGGAAAGGCCCTGCAGCACACACTGATGCTACAGGGACTGTGAGGATAGCACTGATCACACAGAGAGCTTGAGCAGGAAATCCCAACCACCCTGGGATCCTGGGAGTCACCATGGACTGGCCTGATGGTGAAAATATTGGATCATAATCATTGAATAGAAGGTGACATGTGCTGAGGAGGCCCCACCATACAACCAGCTAAAAGCAATACACTCTCTTCACTGACACTTCTTGTCATATTGTAGGGACTCAGTGAAAATGGAAAGCTGCCATATGGAGTCACATGGTGAGTCACAGAAGCTATCAAGGAACACTGTGGATCAAGTCAGGTTGCTGACTGAGCTGAAAGTTGTCCAGCTGCCTCTAGATACTGCTGAGCAAGAGAAATGGCCAGTGCTCTACCTCTGCACTGACACAAGGATGGCAGCAAATGCTCTGTGGGGGTGCCTGGACCAATGGAAAATGGTTGGCAGTACAGAGGGAAACCCACCTGGGCTGCTGAAGTGTGACAAGACATTACTGCCCAGATTGAGAAGTGAGCTGTAAAGCCTGTCATTTTAGATACAGACATACAGGAGAACTGGGCTACTGCAGAGTATCACAATGGGCAGGTGCATTGGGCTGCCAAGGTTAAAGTATTTCTGGCAGATCTGGCCTGGCAACATAAGGGTGAATTATTTCTAGCTCAGTGACACCTGACACCTCAGGTCATCAAGGAAGAGCTGCAACACACAGATGATTTCGTGATGGAGGTGTGGACATGGTCACCATCTGCCAGGTTATCCAAGACTGTGAAACATGAGCTGAGATCAAAGCAAGCCAAGTGGGTAAAGCCCCTGTGGGGGGCAGTGCTCTAAATATAAGCATGGGGAACCTGCCAGATTGATTGCATCACGCTGCCTGAAACCTGCCAAGGCAAGCACTACGTGCTCACAGTGGTAGAAGGCACCAGTGGATGCTTGAGGACCTACCCTGGGCCTCACACCACATCCTGTGCCTTGAAAAGCAGGTCTTGTGGCAGCAGGGCACACTGAAAGAATTGGGCTGGGCAATGGGACTCATTTTAAAAATATCCTCATTGACACCTGGGCCAGAAAGCTTGGGATTGGGTGGGTGTATCACACTCCCTATGGTGGCAGCAGCTCTCTGGCCACAGAGAGAAACAGACCATGGCAGGCACCATGCTGGGAAAGGCTGTGAGAAGATCAGAGAAAAGAATGAGAAACAATTCTTAACCTGCTGCACCTGTTGTTGTGAACATGTGGAATGTGTTATGGAGATTTGCTTACCAAAGGGTGTTTTCTTAATTAGCCATTGGTGATGGTGTTTGGATTGGACCATGAGGTCCAGCTGTATTTCTATAAATGAGCAATGGGTTTCTTACTAAAGATTATTATTCAGCCTTCTGAAATACATGGAGTCTATGCCAATTATTACCCAGCCAGGGGCCTGCTTGCAAAGATACCTTATCACAGAATCAGAGAATTAACTAGATCAGAAAAGAACTTTGAGATCATCAAGTCCAGCCTGTGACCCAACACCACCTTATCAACTACACCAGGGCACTAAGGGCCACATCCAATCTTTTTTTAAACACATCCAGGGATGGTGGCTCCACCACCTTCCTGGGCAGCTCATTCTGATTCCCCATCACTCTTTCTGTGAAGAATGTTTTCCTAATGTCCAGCCTAAATTTCCTCTGGTGAAGCTCAAGACTGTGTCCTCTCATTCTGTCAGTGCTGCCTGGGAGAAGAGACCAACCCCACCTGGCTGTGCCCTCCTGGTCAGGGGCTGTAGAGAGTGATGGGGTCTCCCCTGAGCCTCCTCCTCTCCAGGCTAAACAACCCCAGTTCACTCAGCCTCTCCTCACAGGGGTTGTATTTTCAACCCTTCACCAGCCTTGCTGCATTCAAGCATCTCAATGTCCTGCCTGGGGGACCCTGCATGGGACACAACACTCCAGGTGTGGCCTAACCAGTGCTGAGTAAATGCAGCAGCCTCTGGAAAACAGAATGGTACAATGCACTGTTAAAACTGCCACTGACAGCAATGCCTGGGGAACCTTCAAACATTGGGATTTACATTTAGCAAAGGCCACCTGGTTAGTTAACACCTGAGGCTCTACCAATCAGGCTGCCCTGCCCAATCAAAACCTCCACGTGCTGCAGAAGAGGATGAAATCCCCATGGTGCATATAGAAAATGTCTTAGGGAAGACAGTTTGGATTAGTCCTGCCTCAAGCAAAGGCAAACCTATCTGTGGGATTGTTTTTGCCCAAGCACCTGTGTGCACTTGGTGGGTGATGCAGAGGGACAGGAAACACGATGTGTCCCTCCAGGGAATTTGATTTTTGGGTGAGAGCAGTTTGTAATGTTGAACTGTACAATACTGAGTTGCTGAGTGACACTGCCCATGACTGCCATGGCCAGTGAGGATGGGCTGCTCCAGATACACCAGCCATGAGCTCGTGATGCAGCAACCAGCCAAAAGCACAGCAGCCCTGTGGAAGGCCTCTAAGATGGATAGAGCCCACAGTCATGGTCTAAATGAACTCCACAAACATCTTGGAGGGACAACAGTGACTACAGAAATGATATCTGTGCTTGTGGATACACACACACATCACACATATGTATACAGTTGGAAAGTGTAGAATTTTGGCATGATGTAAGTGTTACAGAATAAGGGGTTCTGGCCAGGACAGGGTTAATTTTTGCAGTAGCCAGGAGAGGGCAAGAATAGGAGCCAGAGCTTATTCTGTATCACCTCACATCATTTTCCAGGAATGAGGGAAGGGGTCCTTTCTGGTCAAGTAGGAGTGGCAGAGGGAGTGGTCAGGTAGTGCTGGTTCCCTCTGTTACTGATATTGTTGCTGTTACTGTTTGTTTTCCTATTCCATGGCTGTTTCCAGTAAACTCATATCTCAATAGGTGATTTTCACCCTCTGTGCCTCCAAGTCTCCTCTCCAACCCACAGCAAGGGGAGGGAGAGGGGGAAGGACAAGTGAACGAGCAGTGCATGGTTTGCAATGCTTCAGGGGGAACACTAAGCTGGGGTATAACATTCCTAAACTGAACATGGGGATAGTAGCATTTCCCTGCTCTAGGAACAGGAGGAGCAGCATCTTCCTGTCCCCCAGTGCCCCCTATGGCCTGTTCCTATTCCCTTCCCAACCTCCCACAGCTCCTACAGCAAACAGGGCCAAATCCCAGACCTGCCAATCCTTCCTGGCTCTCCTAAGTACCAGCAGCTCACGGGGGAGATGAGAGAAAGTACCTGGCAAGAAGGAATCAGGAGCACAGGGGAGAGATAAAAAGCAAAAAATTAGGAGGGAATAAGGGGGGGGAAATAAAACAAGCCTGGATTCTCACCATATTTCTTATTGAAAAGGTCCTGGACTTGTTCCCGCAGCGTATTAGCAATGTCTATTCTGGAAAGCCTGGCATCATAATTTTCTGTAAAATAAAGAAACAATTATAGATTTCTGCTAGTATATTAAAAGGCACTCTATGACTTTTAAGTAATGCCATTTTCTAATTATAGGAAAGCCCTTATCTTGCAATTAGCTAATCTGTGGAGTGGGTCATTCAAAGTCCTTAAAAATAATCTAAACAGAAATATGTTGGGTTATTTTTCCCTCGCCTGTTTGCTAAGAATAAAAGCCACGTGAAATCGAAGATTCAGTTGTGATAATTACTGGCATTAAAATATAACAAACTCCAAAGTCTCTCAGAGAAACCAAAGGCTTTGAAAAAGCTCTCCATCCTTCTTCCCAGGCCCCCAGGGCCCAAGAAGAGATGCCTGATCAGGACAGCACTTGCCTGTCCAGCCCACAGGCTTCTCCCCACCACTCTGTCCCCCAGGGGAGCCACCATGCTGCTGCCAGCTAAACTCGAGTGGCATTTATACAAACATCACACACAGGTGGGAAAAGCCCCAGAAAAGGCAAACCCCTAGGCTTGGAAACTTAATTATGCATCTCACAAGGTCAGACAGGGAGATAAGCCAAGCTGGTTAATTAGGGCACCATGCAGAGTGCTTCAAACCTCTCCTTAGACCTGTGGGACTGCCTGTCCTGGCTGTTCATCTTGTCTTCTAGTTTCCTGTGGTCAGGACAGGGTTAATTTTTGCAGTAGCCAGGAGAGGGCAAGGCTAGGACCTAGAGCTTATTCTGTGTCACCTCCCATCATTTTCCAGGAATGAGGGAAGGAGTCCTTTCTGGTCAAGTAAGTGTGGCCATCCTCTCATCCCACCTCCTTCTCTCCTCCTTCCCAGCCTCATCTTGCTCCTCTGCCAACCCCCCCGAGCCCCAACACCTGCAGCACTCCCTTCCCACGTCTGTCCCATGCAGCCCCCAGAGCAGGCAGGGGCTGTTCCTCAGCCCCCACGTGTCTCCAGCCCCACACCTTGGAAGCCCTGTCTCTTCACAGCGTCCTCCAGCAGCGCCTCGCTCGAGTCCCTCTCGTCGGCGGCTGAGACAGGGGACACAAGAGGAATTAGGAATCACAGCGCTGCCGAGGGGGGTGCATGGGAGGGGGTTTCCAGCCAAAAAACAAGGTGGGGAGGGAAGGCTGTAGGAAACCACTCTCACTCCTCTCCTACCTAGACCTTAGCAGCCCAGCTGCTGGGTGTCTTTCAGCCTACCTTTGGCTGCTGGGCTGTCTGACACCGACTCCTTTACGCCCTCCGCCAGCAGCTCCGGTCTGGAAAACAAGGAGAAGCAGAGGGCATGTGAGTGACCTCCCTGGCAGGGACAAAATGCTGCTCCAGCATCCTCAGGACACCACTCCTACAGTCACAAACCATCCACTCCGCCTGGCTAATGCTATTTAAAAGGTCCTGCAACACAGAGGAGAACTTTGGACATAGTTTTCATGCTGACAGGCTCTTTAATGAGCTGATGTGTCTCTCCTTGGGATGAGATTAAGCAGGTGATGACTGAGCAGCTTAAATCAGCAGCTACAGACTTTCAGTGGATATGGTCCTGAACATTTCTTAAGGGTGGGAGAAGCTGTGCTTCTTTCAACATAAAATTGACCCCAAAAATTGCCATTTGGGTACCTAATGCTAAAGCTGCATAGTGAGGTGACAGTAGGGCTAGTTAACAAGGTGCACTGAAGCTGGGTCACAAAGGAATGGATCTAAGATCAGGACAGGAGGAAACCTCAAAACATGATTGGGCTGACCTGAGAGCTGCTGTTCTGACACCACAAAATCTCCATGCTCCCAATATTTATTTTCTGTTTCAGTCATCTGAAAACTTTTGGGTGAGAAACTGCCCCCAAAATACCCAAGACATCTTAAAATCGACCTCTGCTGGATCTCTTCTGTCTACCAGGGCAATGCTCTTGCATTACATTGGTTGTGGCTTTTCACAGCCCTCCCACAGTTCTTATGGCTCTCCAGCACAGGGTCAGCATCTTTCCTCATGTCTGCAGCATCCCAAGTGCACATGTGCACATCTGGACCTCAGCTGGAGCCACTTTCTGTAGGAAAACCTCCAGGGCTCTCAGCCCCTGTCCTTGCTTCACATCAGGGAACGCTGAAGTTTAAAGGCCTCTTCACCCATCCTGCTGAGGTGGCCAAACCCTTGAAAAAACAGGTTAAAAACCCAGAAGACACGAAGGGACAGATGACAACACCATTGCTGCCTCCAACAAGGCAACAACCCTTGTCTGCTTCTAATCAAGCAAATTTATTTAAGGTGACCAGTTGATGGGTGCTCCCCAGGACACTGCACAGCAGCAGGAGCTCTGAGCACAAACATCCTCCCCAAGGCACAGCCACCCCACCCTCCTTACCTTTTAATGACAAACTGGATGTTGTTGCTGGCTTGCAGGATCTTCTTCAGCTTTGCAATGCCGAAGCAGTTGGGGCGGCGCAGCAGGATGCCTTCTGGCAAGCCCACAACAAACAGGTCCTCAGGGTACATCAGGAACTTGGAGTAGGGGACTTTGACTGGCTCTGATATTCCTATGGCTTTTGCTGCATGGGGGACCCAATCTCATTAGTTTGTTGGACTTCCATGTCAGGTCTAAGCAACAGCAGCATGGTATGTTGCTGGAGAGATTCAAGAGGTTTTTGGGGAGTTTGTGCCTCGTGGGGATGTCCCTGACACTGGCAGACATGAGATGAGGGACAGAGCCATGCAGCCACCTGGAGCTGGCTTTTGCATCTGCTACATTACCACAGCCTGCCTTCCTATAAAGGCTGCAAGCATCTCTCCACAACACAATGGAACCCCACATCCAGACCCCCATGGAAACCCCTCTGCTAAGGGAGGAGACAGGGAATGTGCCTGGGGGTGCCCCATCAGCCTGTGCAGCCCAGCATGGTGAGGACTCCCCTTGCTCTGCTAAATACTGCCAAAAGCAACCAAACAGCCAACACCAAGCAGTGCTATTTGGATAGATTAAAAAACAGCTTTGTGCTGATTTGGCACAGCCTGGTTTTTGATAGCAGGGGAAGGCCACAGAAGTGGCTTCTTTGAGAAGCTGCTAGAAGCTTCCACCATATCTGACAGAGCCCATCTCAGATGGCTCTGAAGATGCACATTCTGTGGGGTCAGTTAGGTTGGTAATGCCTCTGTGATGACGCATTTAAGAAGAAAATCAAAACAGTGCACGGGCAGGTTTTCCCCAGGGGTGGGGAGACACCGTGGCCACTGTGGCTGCTGCCACCTTGGAGAGGCCTGTGGTGAGCCATGCCTGCCTGGCAGCTGTGCCACAGGGGAGAAGGGCAGGGCAGCAGGGGCAGCTTTGCCTGCCCAGTGCCCTGCATGAAGAGAGGTGTTAGACAATGCCAGCACTGCAGTGGGCACTGCCCATGCCATGGCAGTGGGGACATGTGGCTGACAGTGAAAACGTGGCAGGCCACTCCCCAGTGCAGAACTGGGACAAAATCAACCTCTTGGCACTGTGGGATCTTGCAGCAATCTTTGAATTAGTGGAACTTGTAGGCAGTAGTACCTACAAGCAGCAGTTTTTCTTCTTATCAGAGAAAAGGAGGATGTGAGGACATGTGAGGGAAAACAACATGGCAGCAGCAAGGGCAGTGGAAATGAAAGAGGGGGAGGAGGTGCTCCAAGATCAGAGCTGAGACTCCTCTGCAAGCTATGGTGAGGACTGTGGTAAAACAAACTGAACCTCTGTAAGGCATGAAGTCTATGGGGGATGCAGAGATCCACTCACATCCCATGAGAAAAGTGCTCATGCCGGAATGGGTGGATGCCAAGAATGCTGTGATCCAGTGGGAAACCCAAATAGAGAGAGAAGGTCCTTGATTCCAAGTTAGAGCAGCCTAGCCTTAAAAGACTGCACCCTGTGGATGAGTGACCCATGCCACAGCAGTTTTGGGAAGACTGTTTGCCCCTGGGAGGGACCCCATGGCACAGCAGATAAAAGACTCCTCTCCCTGAGCAAACAGAAAAAGATCTCAAATTATGAACTGACCAAGACCCCCATGCCCTGTCTCCCTGCACTGTTGGTGGAAAGGTGGGAGAGGCTGGGGGGCAAAAACGATGTTCTGAATGCTTGTGTTACTTCTCATTATCCTTCTCTGACTCTGTTAATAATAAATTTACTTTATACCTTTACATTTGAACCTGTTTTGCCCTTAGAGTGTTTTCTCTCATTCTTTATCTCAACTTACGAGCCCTTCGTTAACTTTTTTCCCCCTCTCCTTTACCCAACTGTAACAAAAAGTAAACAAGCAACTTTTGTGGGTATCTGGTGTTTGGCCAGTGTCAAACCACAGCAAGGTTAAAACCCCACCTCATCAGTGTGGACTCTCAGCCTGTTACTGTGGTAACATGGGGAGCACTGGGAGCCATGGCTCCAGTGGATGTGCCCAGCCCTGCCTGAGAGCATCCTGGCTCATCTCCTTTCCCTGCTCACAGTGGGCTCTACCAGCTCAGCTGTGCCCCCAGCTTTTGAGGATTGTCAGGCAGAGCCACATATCCTGGTCCTATAAGTGGCAAACGCTGTGCCAGCTCTCAAAAACGCATCTGTGACCTCACCTGTGTTTCTTCCCAGTTAAATAACCTCTCTAAGCAGAGGTGAGCAGAGCATGCTGAGTGCCAGCCCCCACCACCAAGGTGCCACCAGCTTTGCTGAGCCATGCAATGATCATTGTGGGTGGAAAACACTCTCTGAGACTCAAATAAGTGATGGGGGAACCACTTTGGACCTTCCCTCTGCAGGATGAAGGCAGCAATTCCTGGGCTGCAGCCAGTGAAACAACTTTAAGGAAATCAAGGGAAAGAGCTGCAATAACAAGGCAGAAGGAGGTTTCAAATGCATTTGTGAGCCCAGCAGACAGCAGATGAACAAATGAGATTGCATCTTCACTCAGCTGCTGGTTTGGAAATGGCCAATGACAAAGCCAGCAGCTGGCATGATGAACATGTGTTAATGTTATCTTACCGTAGCGTGAGTTGAACAAAATTTCAACTTGTTTCCTCAAATGACTTAAAATGTCCCCTATACCATCTGCAAAAAAACCAAAAAAACAAAGAAGAATACAGAGAAATGCTCTGAGCAACCAGCTGCTTCCAGGGCAAGCACTGTGCAGGTGAGCAGCCCTGCCTGACCTCTGGCAGAGACAGCCATTCACTCTCCATGCCCTCAAATCAGTGCTAGTCCTCTGTCAGCAGCCTCCAAACTGATCTCTTAACAAGGAAGGCAAAGATGCACCTGCTACAGAGCCATGCTAGCAAAAAAAAAAGGAAAATAAAAGAAAAAAAAAAAAAAAAAGAGAAAAGCAAATTCAAGCACAAGAGGAGAGGACAGAGCCCAGGAACACAATGGTGCCCTTCTGTGGGCAGAGGCTTTGAAGGCTAAAAGCTGAAGGCTCTGCTGATAACATAGGAAGCTCACAAAACCCAACCTAAAATACATCTGTGTGCATCCATCCTTCCAAAAACATGCAATGATGCTCAGAGTTCACCAAACACTCACCTGATCCCTCCAGCTCCTTTTCTTCGTGTCGAGACTCTTCAGTGGACCCCTTCTCTGCCTCTGCCAAGGAAGAAGAGGGTTAGCAGCAGCAAAACCAGACAAGACACGAGCAGGAGTTCTCCAGGTGTCCTGCAGCCCCTCAACTGCTCCCTCCCCTCACTAAGCTCTCAGCAAGTGTCCCAGCAGAGGCTGGGCTGGTACCAGCATGCCAAGAGCTGCACTGGCAGGATAAACCCAGTGCTTCCATACAAGAGGGCTGCCCACCCTTTGGCATGGGCTCCATGGGAGAGGAGAGACCCAGCAGGAGCAAGGGCAGCCACAGGGCCAGCACAGATCCCCCAGGTAAATTCCAGGGGCGCACTGGGCAAAGGGGCTTGGGTTTGCAGCATGCTGGAGCTGGAGAGAGGATGGGAAGGAGCAGCAGTGCCAGGAAACCCACTAGCTGATGCAGAAAACCCACCAGTTAGTCTATCAGAGCTCCCAGCTGGCCTCACTGAGGCCAAGACTCTGGAGCTGGGTCTCAAACTTCAGCACTTTGCATCATAAATGGATTCACTCATTTTTGACACTTGCATGAACACCCCTCCTACCCTGCAGTCTCCCAGATGCTTCACTTCTGGTACCTGTTCCTGTTTCCAGGATGTATCTTGACTCCTCTGAGGCCGCGGGCACTGGGTCATGCATTTCCACTGAGGCAGGGGATCGGTCTGCGGACAAAAACCCAGGGCACCTCTTGTTCTGACACCAGTGAGACACTGGCCCCAAAACAGCCTTCAGAGGGTCCCAGCCACCAGCAAGGACTGAGCAAAGGGCCCCCCACTCCCAGGAGCCCCACATATCACCAGAAGATGCTCTGGGGATGCATCTGCCTTCCTCCTCCCAGAACCACCCAGAGCTCATCCCTGACACAGACCTGACCTCTTGAAAGAAGAAAAAAAATCTCTTCCTAACCTCTACAGAAGGTGAAGAACAAAACTGGTTCAAATTATTTACTTGGCTTAATTCCATCTAGACACTCAATTTTGACTTAAAAAGCTGATGCTGCTTGATTTAGATACTACATGGGGTAGGAAAGGGTTCCACTAATGCTGCCTTTCTCAACAAAATCAACCCTCTTTTGGTTTCCCTTACATTAAACCTGTTTCCCCAAGTGCTAGGCTGTCCAATATCCTCAAAGACCCACCCAAATTCAGCTTTAAATGAAGTTTCAACTAGTTTATGTACTTCAATCAGGTTGCTTCTGACCTCACAGGATAAATAATCCAGATTTCACCAATTTCTCCCTGTAGGTGAGCATCTCTTTTCTATTACTCCTCCTCCTTGCCTTCAGCTGTATTCCCTCTCATTCAACTCAATCTTCAAATAAGGAAAGAAAAGGTGGATTCTGGACTTGAGGTATGATCTCCCTGGCACTGGACAAGGGGTAAATTCTTCCCACTCCTCCCATGGACCTCCAGCTTACCATATGTCAACTTTCTTCTCCTCCATTAGCTGCCAAGTTGAAAAAGAAACTGTTTGATCTACCACTATACCTTGCTCCTTCTCCTTTCCCTCTAGTGACCCTAGATAAGTCTATTCTACTCCAATCATGAAGAGACTCCTCAACTATCACCTTACTAAGGGGACTGCTACAATTTAGGTGCAACAACTGGTGTGGTGGGGCCTGGTGTCACTGCTGTCCCCAGATTCACTCACCCTCAGGCATTTTAGAGTTCTGATGCTGCCCTCATTCTGTGGAGCTTATTAATTAATGGTTGTAAAGCACACTGAAAATGCAAACTGCTAACAATCCATTCATTAAACCCTGAGGATCATCCTACCATTTGCTGCACTGTCCAGGACAGGTAAGGACAGGAAAACTGACTCTCCCAGCTGCCCCTCAAGCATGTCATCTCCATCACAACCCATTGCCACTGACCTCTCTGGGCAGGAATGGGGGGAATTTCCCCCATCAATGTCAACAATTCCAACACTTTTTTAGCATGTGCTTAATATTAAACCTGCCTACTATCAGACCTATTAGACCTGCCTACTATTAGTTTTTATGAACTCTTCAAAACCAGGCTGGATTTCTAATTGAAGTACCTCTTCCAAAGCATCCTGTACTCAATACCTGAGATCCTCCACATGAAGAAAAGCAGCAAACCAGGCTCACTTTCTCCAGGGGAGAGGCAAGATAGGACAACAATGAAGGAGAGAGAAAAACAACAAAGAGCCTTAAAACACCTTCCAATGCTCCCAGGAAACCTCAATAGGATGTCAGCCAAGGAAGACCATTGCAGGTACGTGAGGGAGCCTTACATGCTGGGAAATACCCTGCAAATGCCTCTTCTCAAAGCAAAATGCTGAAACATGAACCCTGCCTGGGCAGCAGCACTGCACCCAGAGGTACCTGGTACGGTGATCTGGATGATGTTCAGCTCGTCTGGTTCGATTTTGATCTGCCTGATCCCACCTAGCTCTCCTGAGGTACCTATGGGGAAAGGCAAGGGAAGGTGACGAGGTCTCTGTGTTGAGATGACCCCAAGGTGTCACAAAGTCTCTTTTTTTCCCAGCCCCGAGACCGAAGAAGAGGAAGTCTGGATTCCTTGGCTCTTGTTCTCAAGGTTGTTTATCTTCTCTTATCTGTTCCATTCTTTCTCTGCCCTGCTGAGATCTGTCCAGCAGGTCGGGTTGTGGCACAGTCCCTGCCCTTGGGGTGCTGTTGGCTTTTTATACTAAGAACTGTGTGTGCTTTATTTACAATAATTTCCCAATACCCATCACCTATGTTAGACGGTCTGTCTCTACTCTAAACCAATCCAGAAGTGTCACCATCCCAGCAGAAGATGGAGGACAAGAAGAAGAAGGAGAACAGGACATGCCCAGATTCCTCCATCTTGCCTCTTGAACCCCCATTCTAAAAACCCCAAATTTCTACATTTTCACTCTGTGATAAATTCACTAACATTCTACTCAAATTCTTGTGGCTTGTACATCTTCACACAAAGTTGGTAATTGTTTCCATGGGCTAAAATCAAAGGCACAGGTGTTTTTAACTCCATGCCAAGGTCTCTGAGCCCCCTGTCAGGGTCTTGAGTCCTCCAGGCAGTCAGAGGAGTGTCCTGGGTTCTGACAGGAAGGCAGTCACCAACAGGATCCAGCAATCTGCCCAACACAGCACCAGGGCAGTGGCCAGCTGTCACTTCAGTACCAGCTGAGCTTGCCACAGCACCAGGGCCTCAGTCAAGTGGCCCAGCAGCATCCAGCCCATGGCATGCAGGTACCCAAAGGGACACGTGTGGGCCTGGCTCCTGCAAACAGCCTGGCTGGAGGAGCTGTGGGTGCCCAAAACTGGCAGCTGGACTCTGTGAAATGCTCATTTCCTGGCTTTCTTCACTTAAAATGAACTGGGCCACCAATGGGCGATGGTGGAGACACCAGAGGAGCTGTCTGCAGTGGGTGGCTCCTAGAATTAATGCTCCCAAACTCGTGCCTGGAACTTGCCCCTATTCTGACTGAAGCTGCATCACACCAAGATGAGAGCAGCTGAACCCTGGTGAAATTCAGTGTGGTTTCAACCCCAGCAGATGAAAGCCTGTGCTGACCAGCTGCCCCAGGAGGAGGCTGCCCACAGTCCTCAGCCCAGCTTCCTCTTCTCTCAAGATCAATTTCCTCACTTTGGGTGGGACAGATCAACTGCAAGGCACGGAGTCCCAGCTTGCAGCTTGGAGAGGCACGACAGCATGGCTTGGTGTGGTGTCTACAATGGGTCCAAGCCCCTAAACCTGTGGAAAAGCACTTCCTTTTCATTCATGGTGCTCAAAATACCAACACTGCTGACTTCTCAGGGGTGGCTTTCAGAGGAACTCAGAGAGTGAAGACTTCCCTTAGCTTTGCATTTAAGCACATGCTTAAGTCTCATTATTTCAATTTTTGTGTGCATTTTTAGGCCCCAGGGTCACAGCCTTCCTCTCTGCATCAATCAAATGGGGATAAAGTCCTTAGAGAACTGCACTGTGGTGCAATCATGCAACTAAAGTCACACATTCAAGTTACTTTGCAGGCATCTTTCTCTAGAGTGCCCCCCCATAACATGTCTTGCAAGAGAAAATGAATTATTCCTCACCTGGTTCACAGCCTTCAGAAACATTACACTTCTCAGACCTGAAAGGGAAAGGCAGACAAGAAAGGTGGTCATGGTGTAAGAAAAGAGAGAGCTTAAATCCCAGGGGTGTGTGAACTGACCCTGGCAGGAGGGAGAAATGCTGCCTGGCATCACAGAGGGGTCCCCAGGGCCACCATAGCCCCAGCAGTGGCAGAGCATCCATGGCTGCAAGGTCTGTGAGCCTCTCTGGAAATGAGCCTTGCTCTCAAACCCACCCTGGTCCTGCACCCTTGCCTTGCCTCTAGACACCCATGGATGGAACTGCAGCAGAGAGGTTGTTTTTCAGCCCAAAACTTGGTTGGCTCCATCCCTTTTTGCCAGAGAGCACTGTGTAAGTATTACTACAGTGTAGTTACTCATGGAGGTAAAAAATAGGGAGAAAGGAAAAATCAATTGATTTGGTAAATATTTATTCTGTTCAAAGCTTTTCTTTACTGAAAAACTGGGCACTATCCCAAATTCCCATCTACAGTTAACTTCACATGCTCAGGAGTTTACACAACTTGTTCTGCATCCAAATGAGATTATTTTGCATTCCCAGGATGCATGTGCTTTCCTGTCTCTCTCTTGAACAAGGACAACCACAGCTCTTTGGCAGTAAGGGACCTAAAGAACCACTTCCACTCTGGAAAAAGCACTCCTTCACAATGCTGGTCCTTCAGGGGGAAGGAAAATCCTGTTGGCTCAGGAGGGATGTTCAAAAAGCACTTCCCACTTGCCTAAACCCACCCAGGAGCATCACCAGAACAAACCACAAACCAAGCCATGAGTGCTCTTGAAATGCTCTTCCTAAATGTGGAAAGGCAAAAGGGGTCATTGGTCTGGAAAGCATATATACTGCCTGGGAGCCTTGGGAAGGGTTTTAAACTCTCCCACTTCAGGTCAGAGCAAACCTTTCACCAAGGAAATCTGGGGGAGGGCTTCTCTGGGGAGTGCATTACACCTCACAGTGTCTGGCCCTTCTCCTGGAGTACTGGACACTGCACTTTCCCTGGAGAGGACTCTGACCTGGGGGGCCCATTCCTATGGAAACACTCCTACTGAGAAAGAAAATAAAACCAATCTCCCACAAACTCTCTTTTGAAGCTGAAGATACCCAGAGAGCTGGAGACAAATGCCAGCTCTGCAGACTGGGCAGCTCAAGAGGTCTCTGCCCTCCAAAATTGTGATATTTCAGTACTGGCCATATTGCCAGGCTCATTCATTGAGGTTCTGCTGTCCCAGACACGCTTTAGGGGCATGCAGCAGCCACATCCAAGGGAGCAAACCTGAAACAGCACTGGGGAGAACCAGAAGAGACTCCAACCTGTCACAGGCTCATCTCATCAAAGAGCCAAGAAAGGAAAGGAGCCCAGGAGATATCATGGATGGGACAAAGTTACCTTATTTCCCCATGCTGACCTGCACAGCTCAGCAACCACACAGCTCTGTCTGAAGCCCAGCTGGTGGAGCTGTCAGTGCTGGGCAGTGAGGCTTTGTGCCAGAGAAGCTGAGGAGCATTCTTTACTCCATTGGTGTGAAGCAAGGCTGGGAGAAGGTTCCTTGTCTTATAGCAGTTCATAATGCTATAAACTGCTGCCCTGCCTCTCTTCCTTTTAGAAGCTAAATTACACCTTGCTTCCACTGAATTAGGAATGAAGGAAACTGGGCTATAAAGAGACAAACACCTCCTGGATCTCCCAGTCTGGGTTGGAAAGCTGTATGCTATGTGATATATGCTCCACAGGTGCTGCCAGCATGTTTTGGACCTGTCTAGCTCATGGCACAGTTGTAACAGAAAGAGGTAATCTCATAAAACATCTCCTGCCCTGCTGGACTGTGTAACCCCACCTTCATTAAATGTTAGGCTCCTTGTGAGCTTTCTAAACAAGCAACACTTAATGAGCAGGATGTTGTTACAGCGTGGGCTGAGGGTAAATCCTTTGGGTCATGCATTAACACCAGAGACAGTGCCAGCAGATAATCCCAGGCATGGCCCTCATTTTATCAGTTTTGCTCAAAATTAATGATTCCAAACTTTGGGCTTGCAAAAAGATGGGGCTGCTTGCCCTCCTCCTGTGCTGACTGACTGAACACCCCATAGCAGTGGGATTTTAGGGAGGTAGGAAAGCAGCACCAGTTTAGCCACTCACCTTCCCCTTATGGACTGACAACATCTCCCTGATGCTCCAGCTTACTGAACCACACTCACGGCACCCTCCTGTACCCACTGGCCTGTCTTATACATGAAGAGTTCTATTATCATTATAGTGCAAGGATTCCACATCTCCAGAGTTTTGTACCTTCTCAATGTTTCTCACAGGCAGCTCCTCTAAGCACTGACTGTTCCTGATCCTTGCAGTTGTCACCTGAACTCCAGGTCCCACCAATCCACTCTTTTATACCACTTGTTCTTATTGGCTACAGGTGTGGCCTGTTAAGATCAGGCCTGCTCCTAATCTTTAGTAATTGGTCCAGCTGCAACTCTTTGGGGGATAAGATTACATTCTGTACCACCTTCATTTACCCATGCTGTATCCCCCTACACCACTGGGCATTGCTGCTGAACACATCAGTAACCTGCTGTGCACATTGATGACTCTCTGAGGGATGTCACTTTACAGGGAACAGGACAGAAGTCACACTTACCTGCTGTTGGCCTGAGAGGTCCCCCCCAGTTCCAGCATGGCCCCACGGTGAGGATCGGGGGAGATCTCCCGGGGAGGGCTGGAGGGCTCCAGCTTGGTTGGATCTTTGGTAAATTTGCTTCCTGTTGTCAGGTGTGCAGGATGGGTTTTGGGAGAGAAGCAAAACCAGGATTAGCAGCTGGAGGTGCCAATGTTGCAGCTTGTTCCCCTCCTAGCCCCAGAGCTGAGGTCAGGGTAGGGGAGCAGGTTTTTAAGTGTCACCTGCTTGCAAAGATGCTGATTCCACCGGGTTCACGTGTTGAAATATTAGCAGGACATTTGCTTAAACCTCTCCATAACTATGTGTGTGCTGGGAAGCCCTGCCAGGAAAGAGCATCTCCAGAAAGGGCTGGCTGATAGGATAAGGGTTCCAGGAGGTAGGGACTAAGGTCAGAAACCTCAGAAATATCCCACAGCTCTAGAAAAAAGCCCCAAAGTGGGGAGTGCACTGTCCCAAGGGAGGGGATGTGCTGCACTGGATGCCAACCTGGCAAAACACAGAGACACAGGCAGCCCTGTCTCACAGCTCCAAGCCCACCAAGCAGCAGGAGAAATCTCTGTCACAGAGGCACAGAGAGGGACAGAAGCAACCTGCCACAATAAAAACCTTCCTCTCTCCCTTCCCTATTCCTCAGCAGCCTGAAAGGAGCTGAAATGAAGCCTCATCAATGACCTTGGAGATGGTAAGAGTAATCTGAAGGCAGAGTAGGAGATAAAATCAGGCAGGGAAGTGAGCAAAGAGCTGAAGAATGAGGGAGTGAGACTACATTGTGAGGCTGCAGAAACCACAAGGTGTCTTGTTAAACAGCTGTTATCAAAGCACCATTACAGTATCCTCACCCTTCTAAAACATATTCCATCTATGGGAACTGATACCACTTTTCTTTTTGTTCCAGCCTGTGAGAAAGGGCAGGACTCTGGCAATAGGATCAGCAGAAACACAGAACCTTAAAAACACTATTTATCTACTGACAGTCCAAAAGGCTCCTTTTAATTTGTGCTTTCTATGAACCAAATCTTGTTCTTGCACCAGCACAGCCTGCCTGAAACTGCTACCCAGGGGAGTAACAAAAATAGGTTTCCAAGCAGTGGTGGGTATTTTAATTAAAGGGTGAGCAAAACTTTACGGGGAAGCTTTGGGATACTTCACAAATGGCAACTTAAAATACAGCTCCACTCAGAAAATAATGTCTTTGCAGAAATGGCACCTCCTGACTCAGCAGATGAGGGTTTTTTTGCACAAGCTGATGTGCTGACACAAACCACAGAGAGCCAGGTTTAATGGGTTTTGCTTCTGGTAGCCCTGCAGGGAACTGTCAGGAGAGTGGGGCCTGTCACCCACCTCAGTTCTGCTGGGTTTGCTTCCTCATCTCCAAATATCCACTTGCACCTGCCTAGCATGTAATCCACAAGCCCATAGCACAGGTCTGGAGCTGATGTGCAGATGTACATGATGCCTCCCCCAGACACCATGCAGGCATTATGCAAGGAAAATCCAAGCATCCCAAAACACAGCTCAGTGCTCCATCCCCTGGGGATGGGCTAGAGCTTAAAGAAATCCTTTTCTTGAGAAAAAAAAAAAAAAGCCATTACCAGCTTTAGACAAAGGAATCTCCCATGTAGGTGGGACCCCCTCCAGGTTCTGCTGGTGGCTCCAGTCTGTTTTGGGTGGCCCCAACCTCACCAGGCTCAGGAAGCACTCTCAGGGCTGGGGCTGAGTGGGGCAAGACTGATAACCTGGCTGGCAGAGATATCTGGGAAAAAGGTGTCTGGAGAGCTACCAGCATGTGCAGTTGGCAGCTCAGGGGGGAAAAAAACAAAACACCACCCCAAAACATGTCTTTACTCGTGAGCCAAGCCCAGGCAATCCAGGACCCAGGTGTGATAAACCTGGATGCAATGCCATATTCCAGGTGTGTATGAGGACATTGCTGGAGAGTGGGCTGAGTCTGACAGCATGGGGACCTGTCACCTTGTATCTGCCAAGAAGCATTTATCATGGAATCACAGATTGGTTTGGGTTGAAAGAGACCTTAGACCATCTTGTTCCACCCCTGCCATGGGCAGGGACACCTTCCAGAATCCCAGACTGCTCCAAGCCCCGTCCAACCTGGCCTTGAATACTTCCAGGGATGGGGCAGCTGCAGCTTTTCTGGGAAACCTGTGCCAGGGCCTTGCCACCCTCACAGTAAAGAATTTGTCTGGTTTCTCCAGCTCCGAGAAAAAAGAAGTAAAAACACAGAGCAAAGAAAGTCAAAGAAAGAATAATTTACCAGTGAGAAACACAGCAGTAATTTTCTTCCTCTTGAAATTACAGATATTGCCTCTACTGTGGCTCAGCCTGATTCAGGAGCCAGCCCAGCCTCACACACCAGGAATTCTCACTCAAACGTTCAAAACTCAATTTTTAAGGGGAGTATAGAGCTTGCACTGATCCCAGGCAAAGGCAATCTCAGCATGTCCTGGTGTAGGGCACAGCCAAGGCTTCTCCTTCTCCTAACTGCATTGTGTCCTGCACTTCCTCTGCTTACAGTGACATTATTTCAACTCTGCTTCTCTGGACAACCTTTTAATTTTGTGGGCAATAAATCAAAGGATTTGGAGAACATACCTGTAAAAATTCTTTCGTCAAACATCCTAGGAGAGAAGGAAAGAAAAAAGAATTAGAAATAGATGCTGCTAATGACTGAGTTGGAGGTTTAATTAATGAATAGCATTAAACCAAGTCAAACTAGTAATTTTTTTCATTCTCTAAAAATACTGAATGAATTTTTCAGCTAAAAAAAGGCCTTTCAGCCTGTTGTGCAGCCAAGCAACCTTATGGCATATGCTTTTTAACTAAAGCACCTCTAAATCTGCTTATAAGTCATCGTCTTAATTTAACTTATTAAATGAAGCTGCAATTAAATCAGGCTGGTTTTACAAAAGAAACAGTGGGACCAAAGTAGCTGTTACTGGATCTTCAATTTCCAATGCAGACCATTGACCAGGATGCCACCTGTCTCCTGAATATTGTATTTTGGTGTACCCACAACTTTGCTCATAGGAGCAAAATATGTCCAGGCCACATCCCACAGCCTGATCCAGCCTGGACAAAGCAGGACAAAGTGGCTTCTCTACCAACTGACATCAGGAAAGCTAATTCCTTTCAGGATGCCTGAATTCCATCAGTGATGGTGATTTTAGCCCCCTTGGGAGGCTTGTCCAGGATTTTTCTGTGTTGTAGTTTCACACCTCTAGGCATGGAACAACACAAGTGCTGCACAGGCAGGGACTGGATAAATCAATGTATTATAGAGCAGATTTTCCTGACAGAGAAGCAAAGAGAGATTGCACAGCACAGTGATAACTAGGAATACATCCACTCCTCCTACCCAGTGGAAAGGCAGACACCTGGATTCTTATCACCAGATACAGAGGATGTGCACAAGTGATCAGTGAAAAATAAGGTGGATGGGAATCCCTGTGAGAGTATGGATGTTCCTCCCTGCACCCAGGGGCATTGCTCCTATCCACCAAATGTCACTGAAGGTGCTGTAGCCAAACGTTTGGGGTGGCATTGGCAGTTTGGTGCCCATGATCACTTAAAACAGGGTGGCAGAGCTTGGTTGGGGGTCATCATGGTACAGCCAGCTCAGCCACATCCTGGCAGAAAGGGAGAGAGATGAAAACCAGGGGTTTGCAGGGAGAAAGAGCTGTCTTATGAAAGAGGGTGAAATGAGTTTTTGCTGTCAAAACAAACCCTGTGAGCATGGAGGGAGCACAGCTCAAATCCCTGACACCCTTGAGCCATACACTTCCTTCTGCTGTCCTTGCCACCCACCTTTTGATGACAAAATGGATGTTGTGCCTCTCCTCCAGGATCCTTTTGAGCTTGGGGACCCCATAGGTGCAAGGTCTTTTGAAAGGGATTTTGTCTGGGATGCCAATGATCTCCACTGCCTCGGGGTCACAGGCAATCTTCCTGTATGGCACAGGGACCATGTGGTCTAACCCCAAGGCTTCAGCTGCAAGATGAACACATGGTTTTCATTTACACCAGTGCTTTGTCTTTTACTGGTGCTAAAACAAAGGTGTGAGGGCTTGAACTCAAGCAGAGCAAATGCCTTCTGCTCTCTTCTCTGCTTGTCCCAGAAAGAGAGCTCCAGGAGCAGCTCTCCCATGGGAAATGGGACAAAAAGGAAAGCAGCAGTAAACACAGCTAAGCGTCTTCAAAACTCCCAGACATGCCCAGTGATGCTCAAACCAGGAGTGAGCTGGCCCAAATATCATTCCCAAACTCCCAAATATAATTCCCAAACTCCTTGTGACCCACCCCAGCAGGTTTGTGAGTTCTAGGATTCACAAATTGCACAGCATGTGGAATCATAAAATAGTTAATGTTGGAAAAACCCTCTAAGATTGATTCCAGCTGTTAACCCAGCAGCAGCATGTTCACCAAACCATGTCCCCAAGTGCCAGGTCCATATGCTTTTTTGAACATTTCAAGGGATGGTGACACCATCACTACCCTGGGCAGCCTGTGCCAGTGCATGACAATCCTTTCAGTGAAGAAATTTTCCCCAGTGTCCAATCTAAACCTTCCCTGGAGCAGCCTAAAGCAATTCCCTTTAATTCTATCACTTGTCACCTGGGAAAAGAAACTGAGTCCCACCTTGCTACAGCCTCCTTCAGCTAATTGTATGGAGTGGGAAGATCCCCCCTGAGCCTCCTTTTCTCCAGGCTGAGCCCCCACAGCTCCCTCAGCTGCTCCTCATCAGGCTCGTGCTGCAGACTCTTCCTAAGCTCTGTTACCTTTTGGACACACTCCAGTGCCACATCTCTAAATCACAATTTAAAAGGCTTGTCTCAAGCCCATATACAACTCACAGGTGACACAGCACACATCTACAGCCCATCTGTAACTCACAAATTACACAGCCTGATAGAGATGGCACAGCTGAAGCACCCACCAGCCCCCAAGTGATTTCCCAAGCTTCCACCTGCCCAAATGCTCAGGAGCTACACCAAAAGCACTGCCCATGTCAAAGGGAGCACCACCAACATATGCAAGCCATGCAGGTGGAGAAAAAAGCAGCTGCAACAACAACCACCTTCTTTTTACCTGCCACATGTAAGTAAAAGGACCATGTGCCACCACTCCTGGTGCCCAAGTGCTATGATCCAGCACGCAACATTCCCAGACAGGGCTGTTTTACAGCCCAGTTATAAATTCCTTGACTATGGTGTGGGGCTCCAAACAGAAATATTGACATAACCTTCAGGAGACTGGGAGCTGCTGAGCTAAATGTGTTAGGAAGAGCAGGGAGCTCTAGCATATGGCTTCTGCTGCTGTGTTAGGGAACAAAAATGATTGCTATATAATGATATGCAATCCACAAGCACTGCAGATGCATAATGGGATATTAACTCCTACTCACCATATCTGCTGTTAAAAAGAATTTGCACGCACTCCCTAAGGGTGTTGATGTCTTCAGTTTCTTTTATAAAACTGTCCCACTTATCTATCAAAACAAAATACAAGAAATAAGAAACTTCCATATGGTTCATACACAGCAGATGCACTTTTCTCCTGCAAAGTGCTGCGAAGCAGGAACAAGACTTTAAAAATTATTTCCCTGCTCCTGAGAGAATTTTGCCAGGCTGGCAGATAAGGTCTGGGTTTCTCCAACCCCTGACCTAAGCACTCGCCTTGGCATGTGCAAATTCCCAAGAAATGACCCCATAAAATTTCTCAGCCCTGGAATGAAAGACCCTCATGGACAGAGCCAACTTCACCTGGAATGAACCCTTGAAAGGTACAGCCCTTTCACAAGTGGATCTTTTCTGTCTTCTCCTCTTTCCTAACTTTCCCATCCATATTTTTTTCTCCTCTTCAAGGCAGGCAGGGGTTTTTAGGCTGCATTTCCCTTGGGTGCAGTGGAGGTAAGGAAATGGCAGTCTCCTCCTCACTGCTGATCCCCCCAGGCACTGCTGCAGAATCCCACTGGGACTCGTGGCTTTCAGTAATTTGGAAATAATGCCAAGTTTTCAGCAGGAATGTGCTGTTTGCAGCTGGGGCAAACAGCCTTTCCCAAAGCCATGCCTTGGTTTCCTGTGCAGGAAGCAGAGATGGAATTCCCAGCCAGCCAGCAGTGCTCAAGGACCACTAGCAGTATCTTGGAATGGCAGGGATGGACTGGAGCAGAGAAGAAGGTCTTGGCTCCAATGTGAGATGCATCCCCTCCAGCACTGCCAGATCCCTGCAGAGTGTGGAGAGGGCTGGGAGACTGCTGGGGAGAGATGTGGTGAGGGGAAACCTTTCAGGAAGGCTGCCTTAAGGCTGGAGCAGGACACAGACCTGTCTTGTCATGGACGATGGAGAAGAGGATGCGCTTGGATGAGTGCACATTCTGGATCAGGGGACCTCCGGAGACTGATGATTTCTGTCCTGGACAAGAGGGGAGACAAGGAGAAAGGGCTGATGAGAGCCTGATCCATGCTCCAGACACCACAACAACACCCTGAGAGCTGTCCCCTGCCACCCCTTCTGGCTCTCCTCCATGCACCCTGGCCTGTGACACCTGAGACAAGGAGGAAGGGCTGATGAGGGCCTGATCCATGCTTCAGACACCACAACAACACCCTGAGCGCTGTCCCCTGCCACCCCTTCTGGCTCTCCTCCATGCACCCTGGCCTGTGACACCTGAGACAAGGAGAAAGGGCTGATGAGGGCCTGATCCATGCTCCAGACACCACAACAACACCCTGAGTGCTGTGCCCTGCCACCCCTTCTGGCTCTCCTCCATGCGCCCTGGCCTGTGACACCTGCTGTGGTGCTGGCCAGACCAACCCTTGCCATCCCCACTCCCTTTTGGGGGGATGCCTTTCTGGCCTTTGCTGCCTTTCTGGCCTGGTGGTGCAGGCCCTGTCATTTTGGGGCAAAACTAAAGGTGTGCCCTGCCACTTGGGGCAAAACCAGAGGTGTGCCCTGCCACTTGGGGCAAAAACCAAATGTGTGCCCTGACACTTGGGGCAAAACCAGAGGTGTGGCTGCCACTTGGGGCAAAACCAAAGGTGTGCCTGCCACTTGGGGCAAAAACCAGATGTGTGCCCTGCCACTTGGGGCAAAACCAAAGGTGTGCCTGCCACTTGGGGCAAAAACCAGATGTGTGCCCTGCCACTTGGGGCAAAACCAAAGGTGTGCCTGCCACTTGCAGGCACCCAGGGAAGGCCTGTGGCAGTGCAGCACGGCAGGGGCTCTGCTCACTCCCACACAGGCCAAGCTCTAGGCTGGTTTTCATCCCAGGAATTCCAACAGCCCCTAGCAGGGCCAGGGCTGGGCAGTGCCCCAGGCCCTGAGGGGAGAGCACACTCCAGGCTATTACCACAGCAGTCGCTGTACTCCTGTGAGGAAGGCACCTTCAGCTCTGCCGCCGGCCGGGCCAGCAGCGCCTCGCCCGCCGCCGCCGTGGGCCCGGGCAGGCCCGAGGACGCCTCCTGCTTGAGGTCGATGGCGACAGGGCCGGGCAGAGAGACGCCGTAGAGGAAGTTGGTGATAGCAATGGCCGAGGGGGCGTCCTGCGAGGTGGGTTTGGCCACGGGGCCGTTGGCACCAGAGTCTCGGCTGCCCTTGGAGGCGAGGGAGGAACAAGTTAACTCGATGTTGGGGTTGGGCTCTCGGCTGGGCTCATCTGCTGGCCTGAGGGGAAGGAAGGGAGAAGAGGAGGGAAAAACAGGTTCCTTTGAGCCCATGGCAGTGCTAAGGTGCAACAAGAGAGGATGTGGATGAGGAAGAAGAGCCATGCCTGGGAGGGTGGGACACCACCAGCTGCCAGGCTTCTTGTTGAGGAGCACCATGAAGACCATTACAGGTTAGAGCACCTCTCCTATTTGGAAAGGTTAAGAGAGTTGAGATTGTCCACTCTGGAGGAGAGAAGGCTCTGGGGAGAACATACTCTGGCCTTCCATTACCCAAAGGTACTGGAGAGCTGGAAAGGGACAGCTTGACAAAGGCAGGGAGTTACAGGACAATGGGGAACGGTGTCAAACTGAAAGAGGGTTGGTTTGGATTGGATATTAGGAAGAAATTCTTCCCTGTATGGGTGGTGAGGCCCTGCCACAGGTTGCCCAGGCAAGCTGGGGCTGCCCCATCCCTGGAAGTGTTCAAGGCCAGGCTGGATGGGGCTTGGAGCAGCTTGGATAGTGGAAGGCATCCCTGCCCACAGCAGGGGCTGGAACGAGATGATCTTTAAGGTCCCTTCCAACCCAAACCATTCTATAGTTCTGTTCTGTGATTCAGAAGTTACATCCATCACTCAAACTCCTGAGCATCTTCAGGCACCTAAATGGTTCTTGTCTTCTTTAAGTGGAGCTGGTTAGTCAAAGCTGGTTAGTTCAAAGCATTTTTTTTTTAGCTAGGACCAAGCTGCACAGCTCCATGCCCGGTGCATTTAAGGAGTAAAACCTTTTATGACCACAATCACTTGGCTCCATTGCCTATGCCAGCCCCCAGCACCCATGGCACATTCAAGGGGGAGGTCAGTCAGCCTGCAAATGAGTTTCAGACTGAAGAAACCAACGTGCTCCACATGAGACAGGGAGCCACGAGCTCACAGACAGCACAAATTCTGCGTGTCCTACTTTTAGCTGTCTCAGCCTGATTTTCCAGAAGCATCAAGCCTTTAGAGGAGGTATTTGGTCATGCTCAGCATTTTTCTGAATGGATCTGAGGTGCTGCCAGCAAGGCAAATGCAGGGAAAATGCACCTAAAACTACTGAACCCCTTGCATAAATGTGGCCAAAAGGGGGAGTTTGCTCTGCTGCAGTCCCCCACTTCCCTCCTTGCCTGGCATTAAAAAACCCATTTCAGCCTGGGAAGACACTTGCAGCATTTACCCTGGAAATCCCTCTGGAGACAGAAAAGCACTTAGCTTACCGCAGTGGAAATTTTGGCAGAGACACATAAAAAGATGCAGTTAATGTGCATGTTTACACACACTTTTTATAGAAATGAGCCTGAAATGGACTCAAGCCCCCCAACACGAACAAATCTCTGTGCAAGGCTGGATTTGGCATGGCTGGACCCAGGTTTGTGGGTCCTGAGGAGAAGCTGGGACATGGGAGGGACCCTCCTGCCTGTGCCACCATCCCAAGGGCTCGGGGCTCTCTTGCTCCTCGGAGATCCCCAAAATTAAAATTACCTTTTTAGCCTGAAGCGGATGCTGTGGCTGTGCTCTAGGATGGCCATCAGGGATTTCACATCATACTCCAGGGGTTTCTTAAAGCTGATTCCCTCAGGCAAGCCAGTCACTGCCAGCGAGCCTGGCTCTTTCAGGAACCTCTCGTAGGGCAAAGGGACCACGCTGCTCTTCCCCATGGCTTCACCTGGGGAGGGGACAGAGTTACACACTGACAAACACCCTGTGCCCCTCACCATGGCTGAGCTGGGCTGGAGGACTAAATGCAAGAGCAAGAAATCCCAACAGGATCATTCGGAGAAAAAAACCCATTCCTACCTTCACACTTAGCATGCAAGGCACTCCAATTCCTTTCTAAAAGCACTAATTAATAAAAAGCTCATAAAAGCCAATAAACAGATGTCTCATCATTCAGGTTTCACAGCAGAATCCTCAGTTGGGGTCACTTGGCACAAGCTCACCCCTGGGAGTGCCCAGCCATATGCCAGTGAGGTACATGGCCATCAGCAAGGTGGGAGGGAGCCAAGGGCTGACAAAGAAGGCAGAGGAGCTCACAATGATTTTTATCTCATGCTTACTGAGATATTCTGGGAACCTCATTTCTAGTCAGTTTTCTTATTTTACCTCCTGGAAGAACGGAAAACAGTTTGATTGCTGTTGCTGTCAAGCAGCTTTGATTCACTTTGACAGACAAGGAAAAAAACCAAAACCAACAATCTCCCTCCATCCCAGTATTCACAGACAGCTTGAACATTGATATATTTGACTGCACAGTCCCCTCCAGCTGCCCAGAACTCTCACCTGCTCCCCTCAACACTGGCAACACAGTCCCATCATGTCCCCACCACGTGCCTCTGGCTCCATTTTACCTCTGCCACCAAAATCTCCCTAAGGAGTCAGGTACAAATTGCTTTTCCTTCCCTTGTAGCAGCATTGCCATTATATTGGGATTTTTAAAACCAGATAAAGAGCCTGTGTGCCCAGACCAGGGCTGCTCTGCTATACTTTGCAGGCAAAACACCATCAGAAAAACAGCCTGCTCTGAAGGATTTCAAAACCCTCAAGCCAGTCTCTGGGGAAAAATTACTTTGGAAACCAACCCAAGCCACTGTGATCAATAAAGATGGTGCTGAAAGCATGAAGCACAAGAAACAGCCATGCAGGAATGCAACCTGGCTGGCAAAGCAGTGTCCAGATGCAGAACATCTGGTGGCATGATACAGTGCCTGCACCTTCATCTCCAAGCTGAGGGGCAGACAGAGAAGGTTATAGAACCTTTAAGTTGTTGAGGGATTTTATACTGTGGATTTTCTTTCCAATCTTTTATTTTTTTTCCCTCTTCTTAAAAAAAAACCCAAACCAAAAGATCTTACAGAAATACTGCAAATCTTGTGACACTGCCAGCAAGTCCTTACTAAAAGTGATTTCTTCACCATGTCCCCTGAAGGAATGTATTATAACTAACAATGTGCAACTTGCACAGGCCATTAAGGCTTCTTATAGGGAGGATTGATAATATTTTAATTAAGCAAATGACCAAAGTTTTAAAATAAGCCTTTGAACCATGACACCATGAGTTTACTTGCTGCAAGCTGACAGTTTCCCTGCCCCAATGTGCTGGCTCTAGCAGCTCTCCACCTCCCTTCATCACCTCTCTTCATGATTGGGAGAAGCTCCCAATGTCCACAGTGGCTCCTTATCAACCCAATGCTCAAGAAATCCCCAAACATATTTTTATGGGGACTATGTTATTGTCAAGGTGACCTTCAGAAGCCTTGCACTGCTGCACAGAGACTCATGGTTTGGCTAAAGAGACAATAATCATCATTAATGCCTGTTTAATAGAAGCCACTGGTAATCAGTCATCCTGTTGGTGCAGAGATTACCAGGCTCTGGAGGGAATCTTTTTGACTGAGCATTTTAAAAGATTTTTTGTTTCCAATCCTTATTGATGAAAGGACAAAAAAAAAAAACCAACAAAACCCTAAGAATCTTAATTGTTAAACTCACACAGTCCTCTCAGTGTTACAAACAGAATCACCCTGGGGCATCTGCTGTCTCCTGTGTATTTCTCCCCACTCAACCAGGAGAGGCCTTTCCCAGTGGGAATGAAGGGAGGGGAGCAGCAGCTTTGTCAGGTTTCACCACAGAGAGGCTCAAGGATGGAAACAGCTGACATTACTGAAGCAGCAGCAAAGGCAGAATTACACCCAGTGCCAAAGCCAAAACTGCTGTCCCAGGGATGCCCAACCTTCTTCTGGCCATGCTGGGTAGAGGACATGGCCAATGTGTCCCCACACACCTCCATACACCTTGAAACTGTAAAAAGCCTTACTAATCATCCAATGGATGGGCTGCCTTGTTCATAAAGCCCATGCAGATGCACCCTGATCAAGCTTTTCTAATGCAATTATATAATTATTGTATGTCAGATTTTAATAATTCACATATTCCCAAGAGGACAGCAAAGTTTGGCACTGTACCTGCAGCAGGACAATGAGACCTGCAGCCTGGAGCAGCAAAAAACACCCTCCTCATTCTGTTCCCTTGGTTCTTCTGCATCATCCCTTCCTTCATCCTTGGGCCCAGCCTTTGGAAGGCAGCAACAGGATCTGATTGCTCCCAATAATGGGAATATTGCCTCTAAGTCCTTTAAGTGGCTTCAGAAAATTTCAGTGACTGTCTGTCCCAGGGGAGAAGAGATGCCAGCTCCCTTTTCCTGTCTGTGAAGCTTGTGGAAGATGCCAACAGCCAGCAGCAGCAGCAAATCCTGCATGTGAGCCCAGCCTGGTTGGTGGCAGCTCCTGTTGTGTGGGAATGCCCATTCCCAGATCACATCCACAATCAGGGGCACTCAGGGAGCCCTGCACAGCCCAGCAGGTGATTCTACATGAATCTCAGCTGGTGATGGGGAGCTGCAGCCAGGAAAGACCAACACCCAGTCCTGCAGCTGCTTCAGCCACAGGGCCTGAACTCCCTAAAGCATCATGCAGAACTAACACAACCTCTCAGCAGCATGGGGGAATAACTGGGGCTCTGTTTTCCCAAGCCAGTTTTGCTTTTCCTACCCTGACTAGCACAGCTGTAGAGGCGCTGCCAGGGGATGAGTAGTGGCATGGCCACTACTGCCAGCTGCTCCACAGGGGTTCCAGTGGGTCCTTGTCAGTGAGAAGGTGCTGCTACTGCTCAAGCCACTGCAGACTGGGCTGGAAGGAGCTCTGCAGCCCACTGGGTTCCATACCAACAGCCATATGGTCATCTATATTTAATTGCAGAAGCTTTATTGCTGGGGATGATGCATGTGCTGGAGCAGCACCACCTCGTCTCTGGAAGTTGGGGCTGCAGGGCCACATGCTAGAAAATCATCTGTTTTCTTTTTAAATAGACTTGCCAGGGAAAAGAGAGAGTGAATCTGCAGAGCTCCAACACAGTGCTATGAAAGAGGTGCTGTGGATGCAGTGGCAGGGATAAAAGGTGTGCATGGAAATCACATTAGAGGCTTCCCCTGGTCAGGGAACACAAAGGATGCTTCATTCAGCCCAGGGATTTTTTTTGGCTCAGTTTGGAGCACTGGAAAATTAAGAAGCAGTGGCCAAACCCCATCTCAATGCAGTGCTAACTCTGTACAGGAGCACATTTCACCCTGCCCTGCCAGGCACCTGCTCCCACGCTGAGGAGCTGGGCTGGCATGAAAGCCACAGCTGGTGGCAGTGCTGGGCAGCTCAGTGAGCCCCAGGGACATTCCATATCCCCAAAGGGAAGCATGAAGGTTCTTACTATAAAGCACATCAAACACTTCCTCTACCATCTTCCTGAGGAGGTACACATCTGATCCCTGGTCCGGGGAGACCCTGAGCACCCTTTGCCCGCACTCCTTTGCCTTCTTCTGCACCTCTGCATCCTGCTCCTTCCTCTGCTGGATTCCTGAGGGGGAGAGGAGAAAACAGGAGTCACTGTGGTGAGAAGGCAAGTGTCCCAGCCCTCCCACCCACCTCAGGCCCCAGCTTGGATGATCCCAGCAGCCCCAACACGCAGGGAAAGGTACTGGCAATAGGCAGTGGTGCCAGCACTCATCTGGTGCCTGCCCCCTTTTCCCTGGCTTCTCCCACTCAGCCAGACTGAAACAGTTATGGCTAATTGGGCAGTCCATTTCTAGTCTCTGGTTTCAATCTGCTTAGCCTTCAATCTCTCAGGAAAAGAAAATCCTCCTTTCTTGGAGGCTTTTTTACCCTTCAGCATCACGTAGCTCAGTAATACCAGCTATTTCCTGCTAATTTTCCCCATTAAACCTCAAATAAAGCATATCTTCAGCATTGACTTCTTTGCATCTCTAAATGCACAGAAAATTAAACACTACAAATGCATTATTGCTGTTCTATCCACAGTAATTTGCAAGGGATTTTTGGTGACAAAGGACTAATTCCCTCATCATCCTCGACAGACTCCTACTGGCAGTCGGGCCTGGATGCTGCCTGGGTGCTCAAGGAGCTCACAGATCCTTCTGTGGAAAAAGTCCATGGCTGGGACATCACAGGGAATGGTCAAGAGCAACATAGGACACACACAGAACTGGACACAGCAAAGTAAACAGCCACCATTCCACCCCTGGAAAGCTCCTCTGTTTTGGGGTGTTTAACCAAGGTTGTGAAATGCATCTGCATCCTCCAAGTACTGCCTCTCCCTCCTGCACTGACATTAATTCTGATCACTGTCAGTTCCCCCCTGCATCATGAGAGGCAGGACCAGAGGCTCAGATAAAGGAGGGTGCTCAAGCAAGGTCTGCATCCCAGAGAGATAAGAGGCTTCTTACATCTCCAAGTGATGTCTGCTTTAGATTAATTCACATCTTTCTAAGAGGGCAGCAAGAAATCAGAGGCACTTCCAGGGATACTTTCCACTGTGTGCCAGTTGTAAGGGCTTTATGGAGTGGAGTTGAGTCTGGGCCTGTATAATTCAAGACAGAGTTATCACATTTCACCCTGTCTGCAGCATCATCCCCTTTACTCAAACCCCATCCTCAAGATTGCTGTTTTCAACCAGGCATGACTATTTCTTTTGGACAAAAGTATAAATGAAACCAAAGAGAGGGGAATCAGGATCTAGTGCCAGCTGCTTTGCCCCTGCACAGCTGTAGGGCATCAACCAGGATATATCATGGAATCAGAGAACAAGTTTGGGTCAAGAGAGCCCTTAAAGACCATCTGATTCCACTCCCCTGCCATGGGCAAGGACACTTTCCACTAAACCACATTGCTCCAAGCCCTGTTCAACTTGGCCTTGAACACTTCCAGGGACGGAGCAGCTGCAGCTTCTCTGGACAACCTATCCCAGTAGCTCATAACACTCAAAAGAAGAATTCCTTACTATCACCTAACCTAAATCTATCCTCTTTTAGTTTAAAACTATTCTGCCTTGTTCTGTCATTATCTGCCTGGGCAAAAAGTCACTCTCCCTCTTTTTTCTAAGTCCCCCTTAGGTACTGGAAGGAGCTCTCAGGATTCTCTGGACTGTTCTCCAGACTGAACAACCTCTCTCAGCCTAAGGAAACACAAGAGAGTTCCCTCCCACCCCACTGCCATCCACATCTTGAGGGTGGTGGGAAGGGAAGGTAGAGCTGCCCATGAATGTAGGGAACATCTCCCAAATGCCTCCTGTCCTGCAGAATACAGTGGAGGAAAATTAACCAGGATGTGAGAGGATGGAATGGTGGAGTGGGCCAGCAGCTGCCCAGGACAGCAGGATGAGGGGCTGGGCAGAGCCATGGCAGAGAGCTGCTCCTGTAGAGCCATGCAGTGAACAACACAGTGACCTGGGCAGCTTCATAGCACTGGTGTCACCAGAGCAAACCCTTCCTGAACAATCTCTCCAATGGATTAAGCACCCATGTGCTTTCTGTCAACACCATGTATTTCTCTCCACTGACATCCCACTGCAGAACAGATCTGGGTCTGGTGTCCTCAGCACCACCAAAACCACATCCCATTCCAGTTCCACACTGACTGAGGAAAGCAGTAGTCAGCATGCTGGGGATGATGCTGTCCAAGAAAAGAGGTCCCCATTCACAGAACAGCTCCCACCCTCCCTTCAGCTCCCAGACTGTTTTTTGGAAACTGGCAGAGGTACAGAGCTGGGACAGAAGGTCTGCAGTACACAGATATCCCTCAGACCCTTGGTGAATCTGATCTGAGACTGGGGGAACACAGCTCCTCCTCAAGGTATCCTGTCACCACTGTTCATCCCTCAAAGACACAAGCAACTCCACAACAACAACCAATTCATTCCTGTTTTTCCAAAACCAGGAAAAAAGCCTTGGACTAAGAAAATCCTTCTGCTCCTGGGAGGATCACTAGGAAAAACTATTTCTGCTAAGTCCTCAAAAACCACTGCCAGAGGCTAACAGCAACAGGGCAGCAGAGCAGCCATCCAGCCCTGAGCCACCTCAGGGATGCTTCAGGAGAGAAAACCCAGGGCATGCAGAGCCCTCCCTGGCAGGGAAGAGGCTCTGGCTGCAGCTCCCTCCCAATTCCTCCATCACTTCAAACACCCCTCATCCCCACGGACAGACAGACAGCACCGCGGTGCCCCCTCTGTACGCAGCAGGGCTCACAGCTGGCACAGCTGGAGCACCAACCTCGGCATGGAAGATGGAGGAGCTGCAGATACTCACTGCAAAACTTCTGGAAGTCAGCCTGGAGCTCCTTACGGGCGCTGAGGAAGACCCTTCCCTTCTCAGTGCCCAGCACGAAGGCGCTCTCCTCGTGCACGGCGATGCAGGCAACCTCCGCGTTCAGCTTGGACAGCGCCGAGCACTGTTGGAGGCACCAGGTCAGCACAGCACAGGCTGGGGGCAACATTCCTCCTTCCCACCCCTCCTTCCCACCCCCTGCCATTTCCCAGTGGGGTTTTATCCTTCCCATCAAAAGCAGTGTTCTGGTTTGTGGCAGAATTTCATGGGTTTATGGCATCGCCTAAAAAATTTCGGTGACTTTACAGCTCTACAAAAATACCCAGCTGGAAAACAAGAGCTATTAACCCATCGTTTTATTTCACTTTTTCCTAGCCTAAAAATAAACATTTTATTGCATTTCTTAAAAAAAAAAAAATCCTGAAAAAAAAACCAAAAAACCTAACAAAAAACCCACACCACAACCAACAACAATTTGCATTTTTCCACCAGCTCTAATGGAATAAGGAACACGGGAATCTTATTTCAGCTGCAGAACACTAATATGGTCAAAGTCCAGATTAGTGGAACGATTCTTCTTGTACAGTTATGCAAAACAACAAAGAGATGGAAAAAACTTCTTCCATTAATCCATTTTATGTAACATGCCCTTCCTGCTCTGCATAATACACATGTATATGCATTTTTATTAGTATTTTTTTTATTATAATAGTTACTCAGTGCTAGCAGCCTGAGTCATATTCCTATAGCTACAGCACTGGTGCTGGGTAGATGCTATCCCCAGGTCATCATTTAAATGGGTAAAAAAGGGGGAATTTTCCCAGCATCAGCCCTGGTTAGGCACATCAACAACCCCACAGGGGAGTTGGAGGATGCTGGCAGCCAGGGAGGGAGAAGGAGAGCAGGGGGGTTACATGGAGCAACCCCCCTAAGGTACCTCCAGCTCCCTGCACACACCTACAACAGGCTTCACTTGTGTGGGCTTAAACCAGCTTCTCTGCTAGGTCATTTTACCTCCTGCTCACCTTCTTCAAGGAGGCACTGAATCAAATCCCACAAAACAGATATTTTCAAGAAGTCTCCTTTCAAAACCCAGTCACAAAGACAAGTATTTTGCTCAAAAAGTCCAACACTCAAAAATAAACACAAAAACTAAGGTATGTGAGATTTGGGTGCAGAACAATTCCAAACCCTAAGCCTGCTTGGTGACATGCATGTGGCCCTGTGGTTTATTTACCAGGCACACAGGCAGCTAGGTTTCAGTGAGCACAGAGCCTGCCACTCTGAAGGGCTGGGATAAAGGCTGAATTTCAGGAGCAGCTTGGCTCCCTGGCCCCTGTGTAAGCACCTAACAAGGACTGCATAATAATGAATATTCGTTAAGAAGCCAAACTATGGCAACATAATTTGTTGCACAGGATGGCAAGTATATAAATCATCAAAGCTGCTTGGGGTGTGTAGGCTCTAGGGAACCTGCTCCTTAGTGGGGTAGTGATGTCAAAGAGAAGGAAATTGGTATTAATGAAAAAACCTCTACCTGCATAGAGAGGAAAACATATCCTAGATAAATGCATTACATATGACTTGACTTTAAAAAGAGAGAGCTATTTAGCACATCTCATTGCATTAGACATTTGTTACTACACATCCTCTTTCCCTTATTGATCACATTCACAGTTAAAAATAAGATTAGCTCTGGTCCACAAGACTTAATCCAGACAGTTATCTTGTTTATGTAAGCACGGCTGACTTAGGCAAGGCTTTCCACTGGGAATTCTACGTCAAAAGATATGAAAGTTATTTTCTTTGTTCTCAGAGATAAAAAGCCATTGTTCTGTTGTTGTGTAAATGCTCACGGTAACATTGGTAAAACAGCAAGAAAAAAAAAAGCCAACCACCCTTCAGCCAGTTGATACCAACATAAATATTAATGGGAAAACAATACACATCTGAGATTAACTTGTGCTGGCTTTATGATCCTTATGGCTGTCAGGGCAGGAAAGGGTTTTTATTTCTCAGCAGTTCCCTGGGCTTTCCAGCAGCAGAGGAGAGCGGAATGAGCTCACCAGGCATCGTGTGCCAGCCCTGCACCCAGACAGCCTTGCTAAATGGAGGCCAAAGGAGGGAGGGGGATGGGGACAGGGGTGCCACCGGCCTCTTACCATGGAGTCTAAGGCAGACACTAAGCTGGTGATGATTTCATCTCTCTGGGGAAAAACCATGTTCCATTGGTCAGCTCTGGAGGTGGTGAGTGTCACATCTAAAGGCTTCCCTGCCAAGGCCATATTCACCTGAAAACAGAAAAAAAAATGAAAGAGCTGTGCACCACTGTTACTAACAGAGCTGGAGCTGAGCACCACCACAGAAACCCAACTACCATCATGTGCTACAGGAGCAATGCTGGCACAGGAACACGGGGAAACTGAGGCATGCAGAGAGGCCACAGCAGCCTGAGCCCCACAATCCCCATGAGTCCTCTGCTAAAGGCAGATAACTGCAGGAGCTGTTGAGCTGTAATCAAACCCTGGAGCCAATGCTGTGTGCATCAGCAGTGGCCAGATCATCTCTGCATTTGGAGCTCACCCTCGAGGAGATGCCACCACCACAGGGGCCACAGGACCAGCTGCATGGTGGGACACCCCAGATTGCAGCCTGTGGCCATGCAAGGCAGAGGATGTGGTGCTGAGTGGGCACAGAGCATTTCTGTGCCCGAGCTCTGATGGCAGCTGTGAGCAGCAGGTGATGGCTCTGTCCCCATGAAGACACTGTGCTGACCATCCTTAATCCTGCTCTAAATCCTGGGCAAGAGGAGAGCCTGCCACCCAAAGTGTCCCTGAAACAGGTCAAAGTCACAGGGTGCTCTGAGATGCAGCTCATGGCAAGGGATTCCCTAATGAAATCACCCCACTCTGCAGTTCTTGTGTCAGGGGGAACAGGACGAGGTGCAGTGCAGGGACCACATATCTGAAAAGAGGCTCAGCCCAGAATCTCCATCCCTCACAGCCAAGTGGGGAAAATGCTGTGACCCAGCCACAAGTGCAGCAACAGCATCAGGCTCTTGCACCTCAGTGTTCATGTCTCAATTCATGGTAATGCCAGTGCTGCAGGAGCACTGAGGCAAGGTGTCACCCTCCAAACACCCATGCTGGGACACCCACACTCGAGACAGCAGCACCCCCAGCACCCAACACATCCCTCCCAGCTGCCACCCCTCCATCTGCAGGGCAGCCTTAATCCTGCAACCAAAGGGCAGCAAGTTAGCTCATAAACCACTTGAACCAGATCATAAATCATGTGCTTACAAATGGATGAAGGAGGCTGGAGAATCCCTAACAAGGCTGGATGGGCAGAAGGTGGGGAATATAGATGAAGCTGCCTGCACATAACTCAATTTACCACTCAGTTGATAACCACAGCTGCCCAGCCTCACTGAAAACATGGCTTAAAGGCAACAGCAAATCCCCAAATTCACCCTCCTGCCCTATTTTGCACCTGTGTCCAAGCAGAAGGAATTGGAATGCAAAGCAGAGTTGTGCTGCCCCACGAAATTGGGGAAATTGTGGGGTTTGGCCCAAAGTAACAAGCTCCCCCACACTGGCATCTCTGCAGGTGCCTGAGCACACACATGTTATGAAAGAATCACAGAATGATTTGGGTTGGAAAGAACCTTAAAGGCCATCTCATTCCTACCCCCTGCCATGGCAGGGACACCTTCCACTATCCCAGGTTGCTCCAAGCCCTGTCCAATTTCCTTGAACACTTCCTGGATGGGACACACACAACTGCTCTGGACAAACTTCTGTAAGGGTCTGCAACAAGCTAATGAAGAGGGGAGAGAAATCCCATGACACAATAATGACTGAATTTCTGGAATTGCTCTGGATGAGCCCTCCAGGTTTTTCCCCATGTTGCCAGCTCTTGAAAGCAGCCAAGCAGTGCAGGGGCTCCACTGGCACCTGCAGATGGCAGAGCTGGAAGCTCAGCCACACTGTCACCCAGGAAAAGCCTTTCCCACCCATCTGACACTTTCTAACAAAGCTGATGGGCATCTCCTCCATGGTAATCTTGGGGGGAAGGAACCTGGCCTAAATAGGCATCAGCTTGGGAAATAAAGCAGGAAACTGAACCTATGGTCCTGCTGCTGGGCACAGAGCCCAGGTGTCCCCATGCTGGGGACAGGTCTCTGTCAGGCACCTCCAGCTTTACAGCAACACCAGGAAGCAATCTGCCCAGCTCCAGCCCTGCAGTTTGTGCATGCAAAGATGGACAGACAGACAGACACACAAGAGCCCATTTCATCTGCAAGCTCCCAAGCAGCTTCCTGAGCACAGCTCTGCAGGAGCAGGGAACATGGAATTCCCTTTTTTCATGGATGCTGTACTAATAAGAGGTGCCTTGTTGGAGGTGGCAGGAAACAGGGAGGTGCTGGTGGGGCCAATGCTGGGCACCAAGCTGAGCTGGGGACAGCCCCTGCCTTGCTCCAGGGACCATCACTCCCTTCCTCACTCCCCCAAGAACTTGCTTAGAAAACAGCAAGTTTTACTCTTAAAAACAGCAAAAGTTTTTACTTTGATGCCTGTACATGTTTCTGAGTGCCCTATTTATTACTAAATATGGCTTCTATGACATTCTGTTGCCTCCTAGCAGCATTTTGGAGAAGCAGTCCCTGCCTTGGTGGGGCTGGTTGCATCCACTCAGAGAGCTGCACCAACCTGCTCAGCCATGGCCTCCCACAGGAATCAGCACTTCCAGGGAAGAGATGCTCCTCTCTTGGCTGCTAAAAGCAAAGCCACAAGCTGGGTCTGGCTGCAGAGAGGGAACCAATAGGAAAGACAGGGATAACATCAATGGGAAATGGGGCAGGGGACCTGCATTCCCTTTCCTATCCTGCAGGAGATTGGGACAGAAAGAATTCCTTTCTCCTGGCTGATTGTTTAATAAGTAAAAGCAAGAATCACTCAACAAAAAAAAAAACAACAACCCAAAACATAACAAAAAGATGACTCAAGTAACACAATGGGATTTTAAGGGATGGGGGGACAATATTCCAGTAAAGCTTTTAATCATTTGTGGTCACAAAGAGCATGACAGTGGATTTAAGAAAGGGTGGAATAAAAGGGAGGAAAGAAAACTTCACCAGCAAGTGCTAGGCTTATTTAAATCAAATTAAGACACAGGGCTTGAAGTTGTTTGTCTAATTAAAGGGAAAGTCCTCTTTAGGAAAACTAGGGTAAACCATTCTTACAGCAGTTCAGGCTGGCAGCAGGGTGGGCAGGATGGGTGCAGAGCAGCCTCCCTGGGACACCACCAGTGGGTTGATGTCACCTTCCACAGGGGTCCTGCTCCTGGGACAGCCCCATCACACCTCTGCAACCTGAATCTCAACCCCAAGAGCAATGGTTGGCTCAAGGACCATCACACCACTGTCACAGGGCCAAAGAAAACATTTGCACATTGTTTTAACATTTTTTAGGTTTTTTTTTTTTTTAAAGTTATAGAATTTTATTATTTTTTAATTATTTCTCGTCCACAAAGTAATCTCAGGGGAACAGGGTGCTGTGCAACAGCTGGCACAGGATGTCATCTCCTGCTTGGCTCTTACAACATCTCCCTTGATAATCCTGGGAAAGATTAGAAACTTGGCCCCGGGGCAGTTTCACTCATGAATCACCTGTGCTGCAGCAAAGGAAAAACCAGGCAGGCTCATGAACTCCTGTGGAATGGGCCAGGTGCCCCCCAGCCCTGCAGCCACAGCAGGCACATCCCCTCACCAGTCCCTCTAAGGTTTCCATGGAGCAGCTGGGGGTTTAAAAAAAAAAGAAAAAAAAAAAAAGAGGAAAGAAAAAAATTGACCATTGCACTGGTCCTGCCCACAGTTCCACAAAATAGTGGTAGGAAATCATCCACTTGTTCATTTTTCCAGGAAAATTCTAGCTGTTGCCTCAGTGGTTCTGATGAGATAGTGGGAGGCCCAAATGAACCAAACCAAGTTCCAGCAAAATAAAAAAAAATAAAAATATATATACATTATTATTATATTACCTGAGGTGCCTGGTGAGCTGGAGCCATTTGAGCAAAAAGCCCTGGAAACCCCATCAGGCACAGCAAGGGCAAAACCTAGGGTAGGGACCAGGCTTCAATTTCCATTTGTGTTTTTTTCTCATTGCTTTAGCAAAAACTGCTCTCAGAGGAGCAGATGTGACCAAAGCCATGTTGGACACAGGAGCACTGTGACAGTGTCCCTTGCTTACCAAACAGCTGTCCTTGGGTTTTCTGCTGCAGCAGTGGAGATACCTGCTCCACATGGGCAATTTGCTTTAACCCACCTGTCCTGCCCAGCTAAACCCTAAAATCCCTTACACCTAACTCAGTGCCAGCCTTCAGCCTCTGTGGCCACATCATCACCTCCATCTCAAGCAAATCATGCCCATGCCAGGCTGGTTTCTATGTCCCTAAGAGGTGGTTGGTGAGTGCTCCATCAGCAGCAATGGCAGTGGTACAGCAGATATAACTGTGTTCCAGGGCACTCACAAAATGCCCAGAAATACCCTCAACTGTCTGAACACCCTGAAAAGCCCTAAGCCATGCCCTGTGTGTGGGTGCCCTTGCAGCACAGCCCTCATGAGACAAGCAAGGAGCTCTGGGTTTTGAGGGAGCCCAGGTGCTGTGCTGCCACACACCCCTGGTGTGAGAACCCTCTGCTGAGGACACATCTGATCCCCTAAATGTGGGTGTCCATGCACAGCCAGCCCCAAACCTGGTCTAACTGCTGCCACATCTCTCCACACATCCAAAAATTCCCTTTTATTTTGCTACGTTTCACAGAATCACAGGATGAATTAGGTTGGAATAGACCTTTAAGATCATCAAGTCCAACCTATGACTTAACACCTCCTCATCAACTAAACCATAGCACTGAGTGCCTTGTCCAGTCTTTTTTTAGACACAGCCAGGCACAGTGACTCCACCACTCCTGGGCAGATAATTCCAGCACCTAATCACTCTTTCTGTGAACAATTTTTTCTATATATCCAACCTAAACTTCCCTTTGGTGCAGCTTGAGACTGTGTCCTCTCCTTCTGTCAGTGCTGCCTGGAGAGAGAGCCCAACCCCACCTGAGCACAGGCACCTTTCAGGGAGCTGTAGAGTGATAAGGTCACCCCTGAGTCTCCTTTTCTCCAGGCTGAGCACCCCCAGCTCCCTCAGTGGCTCCTCACAGGGTTTGTGCTCCCAGCCCCTCTCCAGCCTCGTTGCCTCCTCTGGACGCGCTCGAGCGTCCCAAGGT